AGGCCTTCAATCTGCGCGGCCAGTCGTCTATTGCAGCACGAACGAGGTCCATGTCAATATCGGCGGCTGCCTTAATCAAGGATGTCTTGAGTGACTCCAAATTGGGATGAGGCTTTGAGCACGCCTTTTTCTCCAAGCGTTGCCATATCTTGTAATCTAACGGATTCAAATCTGGACTGGAGGAGGGCCAGTCTTCGTGCCGGATGAAGTCGATTTCACGCGCCGCCAGCCAGTCTTGTGTGCTCTTCGCTCTATGAGCTGGCGCCGAATCTTGTTGGAATACCCAGTGCCTGTTATTGAACATGGTATGAGAAACAGGTTCCACAAGGTTCGTCAGGACTGTATTTTGATACACAACTGCATTCGTTTTTACACCTTTCTCACAAAAATGTACCTCTGTTAAGCCCCAATAAGAAACTCCCAACCATACCATGAGCGAGGATGGAAAATGACCTCGTTGGACACGCGGAATACGGTTGCTCGCTTCTTCACTACTGTGTGCGTACACCTTATTATTTTGTTTGTTGTAGCTCTCTTCTACGGTAAAAATTTTTTCATCCGAAAAAAGAATTTCCCGATATTTTTTTCCCGCGTACCGCTTCAACAAAGCGCGGCATCTCTTCGGTCTCAGGTCCATTAGACGAGCATTCAAACGATGTACTGTTTTTCTTCGATATGCCCGAAGCCCTAAGTCTTCATTTAACACGCTTTTCACCGTGGTTCTGCTTACCCCATCTGAAGGGCCAACAGTTTCTGCTTATATTTGGGATTTCTTTGAATTCGCGCCTTCACAGCTTTTATCACTGCTGGAGTCCTAACAGATCGAGGGCGACCACTTCTTGACCTGACATCTACACTAGAGTCTTCATTGTATCGTTTGATGGTACGATAAACGAATGTTTTGGTTATATTCAAAATTTTCAGTATGTTAAAAATTTGAATTGGCGCGTAACCGCAACGATGCAACGCAATAACTGCAACACGGTATTCTTTAAGCGTCCACTCCATATTTAAAAATGAGTAAAATTCTAAAAGTATACATTTTTATTTTCATGAACAATTCGAAATTCGAATTCAATAAACTTTTTTGTGGCCAGCATTCTAAAAGAAAAGTTTTTACTGTGTGACAATACTTATGACCAGACTATGTATATACATGTATGATATTCGCTTACCTATTTTGATTTTCTCGCATATTCAGCACCGTTATTACTAGTTTTAAGATACTCCTGTAAAAAACTCTCCACGAGACAGGCAGTGCCTAGTGTGGAGAGTTTTTATCAAACTGTTACGTGTAAATGTTTTTCAAGGTTAATAAATAAATTTTGATTTGATTTAAAGACCTGCGAGAGGGTAATGAGAATAATAATAAAAAGTGATAAGTGTGTGTAGAACAAATAACACAACTAAATTATAACAAATACAACATGAGAATTATAGCACATACACATAGCAAATATTATAAGTAACACAGTAACACTCGTATATGCGAAGAGTATAGAACCAGATATGTGTACTTTGGGTTTGTGAGGAGGAAGATTTTACAATAAAAAGAATTATGATGCAAATTTCGTAGCTGACAGTTTATTAATGACAACCTTAGAAAAAAAATAAAAAATTATAAAAATATAAATGACAGTTGTTTGCAACTAAACTTTTTACTGCGGTTCCGAACATGCCCCCGGATGTTGAAAGGCTTCCTTTAAACCCAAAACTAATCCGCAATCAGGGGACAAATCTTACTAAACGACCTCTTGATGACTCCGCTTGAGGTACGTACGAATGTCTGCGACTCAGTTGACTCCGTCGGACCCTGGATAGACAGCTACTTACTATGCGGCCCAGTCTCCATTTAAGTGGCGGGAGATTATCTTCCTTCACCACAACCAGGCTGTGAAGCTTCAGCGATGACTGATTGGTGCGCCATTTTGTTCTTTGCTGCAGCTCAACAATATATTCTTTTGACCATCTGGCCCAAAAATGTTGTCGCATAAGCTCTAACCGCTGGAACCTGGTGAGATGGCTTAGCCGGCAGTCTGTAAAAATGTGGAGATCCACGTAAGTATAAGCCTCGCAAACAATAAGGCGAGGAATGCGCAAATTATTTAAAAGCGGAAGGCTTTCAATTAGGTATATTAGTCCAAATTTTGGCTACTTCAAATGGGAGCTCTTCATCCCATGATAACTTATGAACCGATAGCCGCTGCAATAGTATTTTAATAGGAACGATACAGGGAGAAACTAACCCCATGGGATCAAAAATGCTTGCAGTAACAGAAAGCATAGAGCGATTCGTAGAAGGCGAGGCTTCACACGAATCGACAGAGAAAGAAAGCTCATCTGTGGCTGTCTGCGAATTGAGGCCTAATGTCTTACACGATTCAAGGGATCCAATATTTAAACTGAGGGACGAACTGTTGTCGCACGGATCACCAGTAAAACAGAGTAGAGAACTCAGAAGAGTTCAACTTCCAGTAAATTACTGGATTGATTCTATGATTCAGCCAGAGTCCCAGCCAGCCGCCATCTCTCTCACTCTTTTGTACGTGTTATATGTAATGTAGTATTGTGATTCTGTAGCTATCAATGGAAAAGAGCTGGTAGTCTCCGATAGCAAAAAATTCAACATATGCTATTAACGACACCTCCATCCAATAAAATTGTAACTAATTTTTTGAGATTTTTGGTGAGAGTAAAATGAAAATTCCAAATATCATAGCTATTCAAGGTTTCACTCTACAATCTTCGAAAGTATTGTTATCCTTTGTTTTTAATGTGCACTATTGTCATGGTCTTTAAGATTATAAGAAAAAAGTTGTTTTCATGGCTTTTCATGACTTCCGTGAAAAACAATGCCTAGTCAAGTCCCTTGAACTACAGTGACAAACATTGTATGTCTGAGTTACGTCCTTTATTTTTTTACTTATTATGTTTTTTATCTTTTCAGACAATTGTAACTCTGAGTTACAATTATATTGCATGAAAATTGTATGTAAACGTTCAATTGTTTTTCATACAAATAATTGCAAATTTCTTAAAAATCCTATCATAATGGACATAAGTCACTATAACAGGATTAATATTAATTAAAATATTTGATTGTAAGAATAAAACTGCAGCTTAGTGACAAAATTTATTAAAAGTTAATTAGAACAAACACTTATTAAAACATCGCACGCAGTACCTACCTACCATTTAAAATCAGCCGCTAATGACAGGAATAACAAAAGAAATCAACTCCATTTTCTTGTTTGGTAACATTAATAAAATAGAACTCAATAACAATTAATTTTCATCATCACTTAACCAAAAGATTCGTTTATCGTACCATCAAACGATACAATGAAGACTCTAGTGTAGATGACAGGTCAAGAAGTGGTCGCCCTCGGTCTGTTAGGACTCCAGCAGTGATAAAAGCTGTGAAGGCGCGAATTCAAAGAAATCTCAAACGTAAGCAGAAACTGTTGGCCCTTCAGATGGGGTTAAGCAGAACCACGGTGAAAAGGGTGTTAAATGAAGACTTAGGGCTTCGGGCATATCGAAGAAAAACAGGACATCGTTTGAATGCTCGTCTAATGGACCTGAGACTGAAGAGATGCCGCGCTTTGTTGAAGCGGTACGCGGGAAAAAAATATCGGGAAATTCTTTTTTCGGATGAAAAAATTTTTACCGTAGAAGAGAGCTACAACAAACAAAATGATAAGGTGTACGCACACAGTAGTGAAGAAGCGAGCAACCGTATTCCGCGTGTCCAACGAGGTCATTTTCCATCCTCGCTCATGGTATGGTTGGGAGTTTCTTATTGGGGCTTAACAGAGGTACATTTTTGTGAGAAAGGTGTAAAAACGAATGCAGTTGTGTATCAAAATACAGTCCTGACGAACCTTGTGGAACCTGTTTCTCATACCATGTTCAATAACAGGCACTGGGTATTCCAACAAGATTCGGCGCCAGCTCATAGAGCGAAGAGCACACAAGACTGGCTGGCGGCGCGTGAAATCGACTTCATCCGGCACGAAGACTGGCCCTCCTCCAGTCCAGATTTGAATCCGTTAGATTACAAGATATGGCAACACTTGGAGGAAAAGGCGTGCTCAAAGCCTCATCCCAATTTGGAGTCACTCAAGACATCCTTGATTAAGGCAGCCGCCGATATTGACATGGACCTCGTTCGTGCTGCGATAGACGACTGGCCGCGCAGATTGAAGGCCTGTATTCAAAATCACGGAGGTCATTTTGAATAAACTTTAGTGTCATAAGAATCTATGTTTTGTTAAGTTCATTTTGGTATGGTTACATAATGAATAAACTTGTTTCAATTATTTTACATTAAACATGTGACAGAATTTATGACCTGACTAGGTACTTATAGAGAATATACAGCAGAAGTGCAGAATGATAATATTTTTTTTAAATTATGCATAAACACATGAATTCAATAAAAAAAAGCATCACACACCCTACCATGTATTTAACACAACACATGCATAAAAATATACTCTTTGTTTGCTGTCAATTGTGAAATTTTTGTTATTGTTTAAACTCTGTGATCGAATTGAGAATAAATTAATATTGTTTGCCTTTAATTTTATTTATCTATAGTGCAGTTTTAGCGAACACTGATAATATTATCGAATTATAATTGTGTTTGACAATAGAACCATAATAATGTTTAAACTCATAATTTCAATTAATTATAGTCGAATTTCGACTACTGCGGGACCACTAGTTAAATGAAAACCTCGATCAAAATTGTAGCAGAAACTCTGATTTACCTAATGACTTAATACAGTCGAAACAATGCCTTTGAAAATGTTTGGACATAATCATGCATTAACGCAAAGTAGCCGTGGCCTATCTTCTCATTGCTCAATATACTTCGAATACAATACGACACATTTACGCTAACAAATAATAATATACTATAAAGATGAACGTCAAATGCTGAAATTCAGTATTCGAGTACGAGTCGGTCCAAGTCATCGGTCCAATAATACAAAATGACTGCAGAAGTACAAAATCCAAAATCGGTTGATGAAAATGGAAATTTAAATGGCACTACAAAATTCGATAGTTTTTTGATTAGCACTAAATATATAGGAACCGATTACTCGTACAAACACCAAATCGTATGGAAAAACGCTATTGGATTTCTTATTTTACATTTACTTGCGTTATGGGGAGTCATACTGATAGTAACTGGAAATATTGCACTGAAAACATTTCTTTGGAGTAAGTCCCACAAAAGTTTGTTTTTTTGTTAATAATATTCTTTCTAATTTTCACTTATTTATTTCAGCTGTGCTATTTATGTATGCTGCAACTATAGGCATCACAATCGGCGCCCACCGATTCTTCACTCATAAAACCTTCAAAGGAACACCACTTCTCAAAGTTTTTCTGCTTTGTCTACAGACCGTAGCAGGACAGGTAAAATTCGCTTTTTAATTAATTCTATTAGATTTATTTTTGAATGAATTAAAACCATTAATTTGTTTTAGAATTCGACGTTCATTTGGGCTCGCGATCATCGTCTCCACCACCGCTACTCCGATACCGATGCCGACCCGCATAATTCTAAGAGAGGCTTCTTCTTTTGCCACATCGGATGGCTCATGATGAAAAAACATCCATATGTGATTGAATTAGGAAGAAGAATTGACATGAGTGACCTTCAAGCGGATAAAATGATAATGTTCCAAAAGAAGTAAGTAGGCGTGCTATTTCTTATTAATAGCTAGTAAACCTGGCCTCTGTCTTGTCAGACTATCACGATGTTTTGTATCAAATACACCTGTTTATTGACATTAATTGAACGCTACCTGTCTGTCAATGGTACCCTATCGGTAATTTTCCCTTAAGTTTCAACAACTGTACGGTTTCAAGAAAACACAAAACAATGACCCTTGCATATCTATTGACTGAACAATCTGTGATTCATAACATTAATTTTTAAATAATGTTTTTTTTTTACACGCTTTCGTTAACTTGATATGTACGTAAGTTTTTTGTGTATAACGGAATCTTTGAACGTCATTCCCATCGACTTCAAGAGGTCAAGTTGAAATTTTCCACACGCATTAAGGACCGAGGACAATACACTTATTTTATAACTTCCCCTATTATAACCAGTATAGACAGAAAGAAAGAAAAAGTAGAAATTAGTTCGTTTTTCTTCATTAGCGGGTTTTACTTTTTAAACTGAATGTATTATTAAAATGTATAGCGGGCTATAAAAGTGCATGAATAGTAAAAATTTTCATTTTTACATTACATAAGGAATTTATAGTGGTATTGTTGGGTGATTCTTGATTTTTGATCAAACGTAATACGATCTCGATGGGAAACGGGAGCGCGCCTTCTGCTGCATCCATTACATTACCGGTCCATTAAATTACTTAAATCGTGCATATTTATGTGTCACTAGCTGACCCGGCAGACTTCGTAGTGCCTCAATCGATAAATAAAGACCTAAACTTTTGCATAAAATAAACTGAAAACAAACAAAAGGAATCCGTCCGACGGGGGACACATCAAAGGAAAAACAAAATTGTTATTTTTATTTAATTCCGAGCATTTTCATATTTATCTAATCCTTTTGAACCTTCTCTGGACTTCCACAAATAATTCAAGACCAAAATTAGTCAAATCGGTCCAGCCGTTCTCGAGTTTTAGCGAGACTAACGAACAGCAATTCATTTTTATATACATATATAGATAAATTTAATTAAATTATTTATATTATTTACGACATTAATCCAGGCGACGAAATTTAGAATGACACTTAGAAGGTGACACTTAAAGGAATTTACTATTTCAGGTACTATTACTATTTATACTTCGTGGTAGCATTTCTGATACCGGTATTCGTACCTATCTACTTCTTCAATGAGCACTGGCTGTCATCATTCCTCGTATGTTACTGTGCTCGATACATTTTACAATTGAATGGAACTTGGCTGGTCAATAGTGCGGCGCATCTGTACGGCACTAGGCCATACGACAGGTAATATTTACACGATTTTTATAAACTTACATATATTGCACATAAACATGTGTGTTTTGATGTACTGTGTGAAATAGAAACTTTTATATTAAATTTTCAACGAATACCTAATTATTATTACACAATTATTTAATATATGGAAATTATGTTTTTCTGAGAACTATGCAATAACATGGTACCATTTAATTTATACTAAGGGACGGATGCATAACCCGAACACTAATGCGATCGAGCTGATTTCGAGATCTACATAAGTACCTTAAAATACGTAGTATTCTGAAATCAGCGTCGGGGTTTTTATTAATTGCGTATTAGTCATAGTCTTAAAGATTAACATAATATGTATATAAAATTTCTCCATCATTCAAGAATCCGATGAGTCATTATTAACGCAATAGCCCTTCGCGCATTGTCTCCATACGATAGAACGGACTAACGTTTATTTGAATGAAATAATATTTTAGGAAACTCCAGCCAGTCGAATCCTGGTTTGTGTCGTGTATTAGCTTAGGCGAGGGCTGGCACAATTACCACCACGCCTTCCCGTGGGACTACAAGGCAGCCGAAGAATCTATGCATTTTAACTCCAATGCTACTATAATAAGATTTTTCGAACGCATTGGCTTGGCTTATGACTTGAAGATAGCTTCTCCAGATATGGTAATGTATTAGAAATTTGATTTCATGAAATATTAATTCTAAAAATTAAAAAAATATATATAATTATCTACTTTACCACTACTGCATAATATAGTAATGAATACGCACCAACGAAGTTATTAGATAGCTTGTTTTTATCAAATTATATTTCAAACACCATTAGTAAACTAAGTAATTATTATTTGCATTTGCCTATGTATGACTATAAACATATATGAAAGAACATAATACAATAAATTTTCACAAAAGAATAAAAAGTAGACAAAGCATAAATAACCTAACCGTTTATTTCATATACTTTCAACATAAGACGTGTCCTCGAATGACTTGCGCGGTGAAGAAATCGCGTAATTAAGAAAAAAAGGATAAATATTTATGGCAGAGTGTATTGTAGGCCCGTAATGGTAAATCCCATAATTCTGCATAATCTTTAATCTTATATCTCAAGGTAGGCGATGGTGTGCAGGTTGTGATGATAAAGTAAACATGGAACCACATAACGTCAGAGGGCTATCAGCTGCCCATATAGAGCAATAAAATAACTTTACCTACTTTTAAACTACGTACGAACCCAGTCTAAATGTAATGTAAAATATCACAGGTGAGAAACAGAATTGTGCGATCGGGTGACGGAACCCACCATGTGCTGGGCAACGATGAAGCCAAGTCTGCGGTCAGCGCTATCGGTCCTCTTCATCCTCTGAACCCAACATACAACAGCACACTGAAATCCCCTGACGCAATCCTCAAACCTGAAGGCCTCCCGCTATTCCACGAAAAGGATGTTCTCATTAACAATCTGACTAGAAGAAATGTTGCTGGATAATTTGTTGACTATTTTTGTTTTTCAATTATTATGAATTTCAAATTACATTCAAAAGTTATTATTATATTATATGAATTTTAAACTAGACGTATGTATTCGTCGGGTAGGTACTTCCGATTTTGAACTATTTCATTGATTTCGTTTTTCTCAAAATAAATTTAAAGCCTAAGTATACAAAGTATCACATAGTACCTTATAATAGTCTATATAAGATCTTACGTTATTACGAAATAAGAAAAAAATCTAAGTCATGTAGTTAAAATTACTTTTATAGTTTTATCTGGCGTTTGACATATTAATTATATTATTTTCAATGAATTCCAATGTATAGAACATTAAAATCAAAGTTGAAAAAAGTAAAATGATCAAATAATAAAAAAAGTATTTTTTGACAAGCGCCTTACGTCAAACAAATGGACGTAAAATCCTGATTGAGGAAACATGTTTCAAATTTATATTTTAAAATATTCTCCTCATTCATCATTATGTCTAATGTAAGTAATGAATTAATTGTATTAATGTAAAAGTTATTTGCATTTTTTGTAAATAAATTACACTATGCTTGACTATCAGATGTGATTTTATTCAAATATTTGCCTTTTTCTATAAGTCGAAATTTGTAATAAATTGTTTTTGGACGGAACTGGTTTCATGTTTTTGAAAATTGGTTAAATATTGATTACTATAAGTTTAATCAAATTGGTGTTTGTATTCCGCAAGCAAGCATTTTTGAGAATGCAGAGACAATTATTGTTTCCTTTATTATTTGCTGCTAGCCTAGTGGGCTAATTCAGCTACGCCCGAACGGAAGAGACAATAGCGGTCGCAGCTCTGTATGAGGAAAGAAATTCTAATTTGAAGAATGTTAAGCGTTAGACACATAGTTGCTTTTGGCATTGATGATGGTTCCTAATCACCATCGGCAATATGCCTACCTTAAAAAGGCAATAAGAAAAATTAAGCCTTTGCTATTCATCTGGATTAAGGACCTTGTACAGAAAGAGGTTGTTCTTGCAGGTATTGTGTGGTTTCTCACTCTGGAGCCCTAATCTTTAATGACTTGGGTCGTAAACGATACTGGTATCATTATTTTTGAACGCAATATATTAAGTTTAAATTCTAGTATTTTTTTTTTTGTAAAAATTGTGCATTTAATAACGGTTAAAAAAATACTGTAAATTATAACTCTTTTTTTTATTGCTTAGATGAGTGGACGAGCTCACAGCCCACCTGGTGTTAAGTGGTTACTGGAGCCCATAGACATCTACAACGTAAATGCGCCACCCACCTTGAGATATAAGTTCTAAGGTTTCATGTTTTAGTTACAACGGCTACCCCACCCTTCAAACCGAAACGCATTACTGCTTCACTGCAGAAATAGGCAGGCAAGAACATCATTTGGGTATCCCGCATATTTCGGTTCGGTATCAGGGTTGTTACTCAGAAAGGAGAATGTATGTCAGTAGGATGGCTGATGCTGGCAATGGAAGAGTCACGCATCCCAGTGTAGAAGGGTGGCTCTTTTAAAAATGAACAGTCGATGAATAATGATTTAGGAAAACAGCACACTAAATTTTAAGACGAAAACAAATCCCCCATTCTACGTTACTCCAAACATATTTAAAAATAAAACAACATAATAATAATTCTGTTTTTTTATATTTGTTTAATGTTTTAGTCCTATCGTATTTATTTCTTAATTAAGCGATTTGTAATTCATTATCGGTTAATAACCGTTTGATATTTTAACTGGCTTTATCACAACTTCGTTAACCAATGTAATAATATAATGGCCAGAACTAACTCGATTCCCATTTTAAATGCTCGAAAATAACAGAACAAACAATAATATCTGTCACGTTTGCAGCAGCAAATTTGAACTTTATTTTCTGTATCTAAAATTGTATTTTCCATCAACATCCATTACAAAAATCAAGCTTCTACTAATTACAGTCAGGACGCACTGAAATGTTTGGTTATCAAAAAGATATAAGTAATTCCTCTTAATTTTTTAAAATAAACATAGTGATAAATTGTTAATCATTATTTTAAATGTTACTGTGAATAACAAAAGGTTACACATGTAGACTTTAATCACTGCAGAAACAGCCACTTCTAGAATTGTGTCTGATCCAGTACAAATATTTAGAGACTCTGGTATATACTCCCGGATAACCGGGTCGGCCGCACCCGATGCCCCAGGAAACGATACCTAAACGAAAAGAAAACAAGAGAAATTGAATTATAGACTATCTTGAGTTTATCTACTGGTGGTAGGACCTCTTGAGAGTCCGCGCGGGTAGGTACCACCACCCTGCCTATTTCTGCCGTGAAGCAGTAATGCGTTTCGGTTTGAAGGATGGGGCAGCCGTTGTAACTATATTTGAGGCCTTAGAACTTATATCTCAAGATGGGTGGCGCATTTACGTTGTAGATGTCTATGGGTTCCATTGACCACTTAACACCAGGTGGGCTGTGAGGTCGTACACACATCTAAGCAATAAAAAAAAACTCGACAAACTAGTTGTCAATCAAATCGTACCAAAACTGAGATTTGAGTTATACACAGAGTATATAAAAATTTAGGCTAAAATATATGTTTGAATAAAGCTAATGATGACGTCATGTGGGGACAAGCAGTGAACAAAGACGGTTGACTAAAAATATTAATAATAAAAAAAATTGTTTTCATTAAAAATAGTTTTCGGTAGTCAGCTCAACTCTGTTCCTCGAAGTTTTTTCACAATCGAAAAAAAAAATTCAAAATTGTTCAATGCACAATCTTTTTAAATCTTGATTCTGTATGTACCTTAGATTGTAAATATGTGATTTATTATAAGGAAATGTATGGGTAGTGCAAGGTAGAGGTCGACCGAAGAAGACATGGATGGAGTGTGTGAATGACAATATGAGAGAGAGAGGAGTGAGTGTTGAGATGACGGCTGATAGAAGAGAATGGAAGAGAAAAATTGACTGTGGCGACCCCATCTAGTGGGATAAGGCGGAGAAAAAGAAGATTATAAACCGCTCTCCTATTGAATTATACTTGTTATTTTATAGCGCCGAATAGAGTCAAACAGTTTGTTAAATGGCCAAAACCGATATAGCACAGAACTAAGAAATTACATCAAAAATGTTTTTATAACGAAGTATATACAAATCAAACTTACCAACAAGTTCATATCGTTTATCTTTTCTTTCAGCTGACAAAGGACCGCCACTGTCTCCCTAAAAGAATGAGATGAATCTATATTGTTTATAGATCTAAATGAAAGAAAATAGATTGAGAGAAATGAAGGACTTTTTTCCTTGACAAAAATCCTTCCGACACACCTATGAGTTTCAGCGAAGAATTTAAATACTAGCATAACGGTAATTAATAAAAGAACTTGAAAGCCGATATTTTAAATAAAAAAAAACATCCTGTACCAAATACTGAAAAAGCGCTAATATTTATTCATACCCTATACACTAAAATTCCTTTTAAAACTTTAACTTTAATAAATTCCCTAATACTACTCATAAAAGATAAAGCAATATTTGAAAACCAATGATTTATTAATATTTATAACTTAACTATCATTTACATAATGTGACAAATATAAAGCAGCTTACCTGACAAGTATCCTTCATTCCTTTTTCAGGATAGCCGGCACATAACATATCATCTAGAATCATTGATGGTTCGTATTTGGTTTTTTTACATTCCGCATTACTCAGAACAGGCAGTTCCACTTCCAGTAAATTACAGGAACGATTCTTTGATTCGCCTACAGAACCCCAGCCGGCAGCAATCGCTCTCACTGCTTCATACGTGTTCTCTGTAATGTTACGTTCTAAAACAGTCATCTGTTTTGCCAATTGTATGAACTTTTTGGCGGGAACCCGAGCAAGGTTGTTTGAATTAATTCTGTTAATAAAGTTTGTAAGCGGTGGCTTATTTACTATTTAGCATCTGTGAAAGTGCACAAATGTGGGAAAATGAAACAAAGCCGCTGGCCATAGCTTCTCATGTTCTTCCAAAAAGTTCACTGAAAGTCTCAGTATTACCATAATTATAAGGAGACTTGTTATCCTATCCCCTCACTTAATTTCATTCCAATTGATTTATCTCAAATTAATCAACTTCATCTCATTTCGTTTCATTTTATTTTTCATACAACAGAAAATAAAAAGAAATAAGACTTGCTTGAAAGTCTCGTTACCAGGCCATAAAATGTTCCAAAAAAAAGCAATTGTGTACTACATATTACTTACTTTGAAACCTACAATTTCCAGTAAAAATCAAAGTAGTAATTATTCTACATCTAACAGATTACTAATGATATATTGGTAATATATAATATATAATATAATATTGATAACTATTGTTTATGAAATTTATTATTTTTTGGCAAATATTTCCACTTCAAACAAAACGACGGACACACAAATACCACTTTATCTAAGATATTAAACTGGAATTAGTCACCATCATTATGCGGTAAGCAAACTGGCTTCACGGTATCTGAAACCTCAACCTTCTCATTCATCTTCAACAATGCGATGTCATCTTTGAAGTTAGAGAATGTAAAGTTGTGTGACAAAAGCTGCACCACAAAGCGTGTTTCAGGTCGATGTGTTTTGTTGCAACGGTTGTGCTCGCCGAGGGTCACTTTGATCATGAACCACATGAAACTGTAACGAAATATAGGTATTACGAGTACAAGATGGCATGTCAACAATGTCGAAGAATTTTAAACAATTTATTAAAGTGAAACTTTTTTAAAGTGAAACTTTTTTAAAGTGAAACTTTTATTACATCGTCTCAAATTTTTTCATCTGTGTGTTGCATGTCGCGTGACGGTCGGCCGCGGAGTAGGGATAAAATGAAAGGCGCTCTTCCGAGCAGCCAAGGCCAATATGGCGGCGCCTATAGTTCGCAGTTCGTGTAGTATATAGACTATTACTCATTTGTGCCAGTGCTCCACGCTATTTTGTTTTTGTCAGTCTATAATGTAAATGTTGTTTGTCAAAGCTAAATGTCTATGATGTAAAAAAAAGTTTCACTTTTACCGTGGTTTCATTAAACTACACCATCCTTTTTATTTCTATTATAAACTAGCTGACCCGGCAGACTTCGTAGTGCCTTAATCGATAAATAAAGGACCTAAACATTTGCATAAAATAAAATTAAAACAAACAAAAGGAATCCGTCCGACGGGGTACACATCAAAGGGAAAACAAAATTGTTATATTTATTTAATTCCGAGCATTTTCATATTTATCTACCTTTTAAACCTTCTCTAGACTTCCACAAATAATTCAGGACCAAAATTAGCCAAATCGATCCAGCCGTTCTCGAGTTTTAGCGAGACTAACGAACAGCACTTCATTTTTATATTATTATAAATGAATATCCAAATTTTATTCGTAAAATAATAGTAAAACTGAAATCAAACCCTTTCGTGCAATGTGCAGCGGTTAACACGTATCTGTCGTTAACAAGAGTACCTCCGCAGTAAAACTTGTTGAAGTATGAAAGTCTTGTCACCCAGGGGAACTCATTCACAGTTGTCTCCACTCCCCCGGTGATACGTGAAGCCTCGTTGCGCTCACCACAACCTAATATTAACCATAAAATTAGTTGGCTCCAACTTTAGTTGTAATATCTTGAGATTGGCAATAAAGGTGACTTGGTGATGTTTTATAGGCTCTTCTTCTTGCCCTTTTATGGCCTCTTATACCTCTTAGCCTCTTAGGCTTCAATGGTATGGCCTCTTATGATGCCGCATAGGGATTGGGCACAAGTTTTACGACCAGCTGTCTGCCTGACGTAAGCCGTCCGTAATAACTCCAGTAGTAGGTATATTCATTACACCGTGCCAACATTTTCTATTTCATCTTTTGTTGTTTATTTCACTTCATTAATGTTTATAAAATACTTTTAATATCATATATTTTATTCGTCTTTCCCTATTTGAATATCAAAATTATGTTTATTTATTGTCACGTTTGATGAAGTTATTATGTCTTGTTATATGTGTACATATATATTTTTGAGATATATTATTGGCATTAATAGTAGATATATTAATGTCATAGAAAACTTACGGCAATTACATTTACGTCCGTAATCCCCATTATCACGAATTGCTTCTGTCTCACTGTCAGCTAAAATCTGAAGCCAGTACAATATATTTAATGCATCGTAATTATTTCTCTAACTAATTTAAACTATGATTGTATACAATTTATTTTCGGTTCTCTGTTATCGGTCTCTATTGTCTGCCCAACACTTATGAATTTAATTTTTTTTAAATAAACCGTTCCTTATTATTTATTTCTTATAATCTATTTCTTATATCTATGCGTTATCTATCTATCGGCTGCATTTTATCATCGTTTTTATACAGATTGTTGTATTAAAACTAAGACAAAAACTTACTGTACATCTGCCGCAGAATACACTTAACAAAAAAAGCACCGCAAGTCTCCACATTTTCCACTAAAATACTAAATATGAAACTCTTAAAACAAATCTGCAAGCGTCTAAATCCCACAAAAGGAGAGGAAGTAGTGCGGGAAAGAGGCCAATGCACCTCACAAACATTGTACGACATTTAGCTATTTAGTGATCCTACAGGTTCTAGGCCGAAGATCAAGTCTTCTCGTGTCTTTTAGTAAAACGTAAAGTGGGAAAGGGACGGAAACTTATAAACTTGAACATCGCTAATAAGCCGTAAAATCATACGATCATATCATCATATTGGTGTAAAACTTGAATATTCAATTCCAGAAAATCCATCTATTAAAATTCTTGTAGTTATTATTTCGTTGCATGCGCGTTATTATAGTTTAGTTGTTTCTTTTTAATAAGTAAAATCCTAATAATATTAAATAAAATCTTCAAAGTGTTAGCGAAGCCTTCTCGAAACAAAACCCCTAACATACTTGTATTTCCAAAACCTTCAATATTTAGCATATTGCAATCGGCGGACATCGCAATCACTTTTGTGATCTTGCCGTTTGTTGTTTTGTATTAACTGATTGGAATTATTATAAAATACCTTTAAATAAAAAGGAATATCAAACTAAATTTAAAATGCAACTGTTAATACGCCCATTAACACCCCCGTCTTCATTTCGGGGAACGATTTCCTTGTTGACTTATATACAGGGTGTCCCGGAAGTTATCAATAGCCCAGAATCGGCGAAAAGTTCCTCTTATGATGAGCCAGTAAAAAAAACAGTCGCTCGGGACCGATTGAGTGGCCAGCACGCTCCGCCGATTTAAATCCCTTAGATTTTTTTATTGACGACACTTGAAGAAATACATAGGTATACAAAAAATCAATACAAAATCTAACTGACGTAAGTAAATGAATAAAATAAGCTGTCGATCAAATAAATCGAAAAAGATACTAAGAGATAGGAATCATTCGAAGGTATTTCGCACTAAATGGGTAGTGTAGAATAATAGTATACTTTTTAAAAATGGCATCAAGTAAGCATTTAACAAATAAAATACATTTGAGTATTCCTTTTTCTTTATTTCAAAAGCGAGGTATTTACATTACGAAAATATGACACAGTTTTGTTGCTGTAATCATTCAAATCAAAATTTGCAATAGCAAGCCCCGTCGGTATTGTCCCTGATCCAGTCCAAGTATTTGGTGACCCTCGTATACACTCCAGGGTAACCCTTTCTAGCACACCCGTAGCCCCACGAAACGATTCCTGCAAGCAATGTAAAAAAATCCTTAAATGAATTGACGAAAAAAGAACATGATTGCTTAATACTGACATTGTATTCATTTTCAATAACATAAAAAGTTTTAGATAAATAAATAAAATCCAGTTGACCGACTTGGCTGATTTATTGTATTCGTAATTATCAATACAATGTAACGTAATCGAGTTTCAGTAGCATAAAATAAAAATGAATGATTCATTAGGTTCGCGGCCCTAAGACGATTGTGGTGAAACTTAATACAGTGGCTGACGATTTGGTAAAGGTTTTGTCATAATATCATCACTGTACTCTGTACTATAGACGTATAAATGTTTATTACATTAAATATAAGTACAGCGGAGCGTGAATGGATTCTTCTAGTAGCTATAAAGTAAAATAAATAATCAAGTTTTACTGCTTTCGAGGCTGCAATTTTTATCATACATACATACCTATTAGTTCATAGACGTTTCTTTCGTTTTCAACAACCAAAGGACCGCCACTGTCACCCTGAAACAAATAGATAAACAACAGATCACAAGAGATTTTTCAATGATGAAGAAAGTAATGTGGTGTAAAAAGCTTCGCAAAAGATGAACGTAAAAAAAAATGTTCTATGCCTTAATCTATTGTCTTGCAAAAATTTACTGAGCGTATTGTGAGCCCATAAGGGAAAAGTAATACGGATATATCGCGGAGCAATCATGCGTCGCATTCCTGTAGGACAATCGTTATACAATTGAGATTTCGACCGCTTAATACAATAATTGACATAGCCCACTGAGTTTCTCGCCAAAATCTTCTCAGTGGGTCGCGTTTCCGATCCGGTGGTAGATTCTGCGAAGCACTGCTCCTGTTAGGGCCAGTGTTAGCACCACTCCGGATTGCGCCCCGTGAGCTCACCTACACGTTAGGGTGAAGCTGATATAGCCTCACAAGGTTATCAGCATAGGTAGGAAAAATAAAAATTATCTCCTCTCTGCGTTTATCATGACATCGTCTGAACATCCAAGATTGTCGATTTAGTACTGATAACGTTGGTAAAAGGAACAGATCTCTGCCCGACAGCTGTGAATCGGTAACTCGAGCCCATTGATACCACAATCTTAAGGTCGAAATCTCTAACATCGATATGACGGTAATCTTTCTCTTTAAATTGAAACGCACGAATGCTCTCCCCAGAAGCATTTGTGGCCCCATTGACATGAATACATACAATACAGGAATAAGGCCTATTTCTGCCGTGAAGCAGTAATGCGTTTCGGTTTGAAGAGTGGAGTAGCCGTTGTAACTATACTGAGACCCTAAATCTTATATCTCGAGGTAGGTGGCTCATTTACGTTGTAGATGTCTACAGGCTCCAATAACAACTTAACACTAGGTGGGCTGTGAGCTCGTCCACCCAACTAAGCAATAAAAAAAAAGTTGCGATCGAATACTAAAAACATATTTCATTGGAAAATTTTAGGACGAAATCTAAAAAGCCAAAATCTTAAATTTAATTAACAGCCTAAACTCACCGTACAAGCATCTTTATGTGCAGTGGCCGGATAACCAGCGCACATCATCGTATTCTTTATCTTCGAAGAATTGTAGCTGGTACCCTGACACTCTTCGTTACTTAATATTGGTAATTCCGCCTTCAGTAACATGCAGGACCAATTCCCGGTCTCACCAGTAGCTCCCCATCCTGCCACTATAGCTTCGGCACCGGTGTATAAGCTGTCTAAATTGATTGAAAATATAAGCAGCATTAGTAATCTATAGCTCTATATATAAAAATGAATTGTTGTTCGTTAGTCTCGCTAAAACTCGAGAACGGCTTGACCGATTTGGCTAATTTTGGTCTTGAATCATTTGTGGAAGTCCAGAGAAGGTTTAAAAAGTAGATAAATATGAAAATGCTCGGAATTAAATAAAAATACCAATTTTGTTTTTCCTTTGACGTGTCCCCCGTCGGACGGATTCCTTTTGTTTGTTTTAAATTTATTTTATACAAAAGCTCAGGTCTTTTATTTATCGATTGAGGCACTACGAAGTCTGCCTGGTCAGCTAGTATATTTTAAAACTGTGTCTAGTTTAGAAAATTTTTATAAGGAAATAATTAATTATAGTATCAATGCGATAAATAATAGGTCAAAACGAATTCAGTTAGATGATGATATTGATGACAGAACACTTTAATCATATACGATATTTGGAGATATTCAAGTGATGATAATATGTTTCTTACTAAAACCATAAAGAATATATACGGAGCTGTAAATTCAAAATTGGTTATAAAATAACCAAGTAAAATCTCAAAACCAGATAATTTGGTAAAGGTGATTTAATAAGGGCTCAGGTCGGGTTTTGCCTTTCTGTGAAAATTTTACAACACAATCGAATTCTTTATTTACGATCATTAACTGAAAAAAGACAAAATAAATTTAGTATTGTGTATTCGTTGAAGATTCGCAAATTGAGAAGTATTTGTTTTCGTTGGTTTTAACCAAAAAGTATTTATTATTTCTTATTTTCACAGACATATAACGCAGCTTAATTTACAAAAGAAAAACATTCAAAACTAATCAGTTACTAATGAACGTGTCTCGACTTCGAAATTTGAAATTTCGTCTTTTTGAGCACTTACTTGTAACGGTATTTTTAAGACAGGAATGGAGATTATAAAACTCAACGAAGTCTAATCAACAAAAATTACAGATACTTGTATTAGTTTAAATTTTGCTCTCAACCCACGTCTCATATAGCCGCGAATAGGGCTATCAAAACGTAAAAAAATCTAATATGAATACATCTATACTAATATATAGGTATAAATCTACAGTGGTTTTTACGAATGTTCCGTTATAACTACTGAACTATGCATCCGATTGACTTGAAACTTGGTATCCATGTAGAAAATACATGTACTTAATGGATTGGCTAATAAGTATATGAGTGTTGGACTCTCTACACCAGTTGCGGGGGCGTTTTTTATTTTTTTTAATTTTTTTATTGCTTAGATGGGTGGAAGAGCTCACAGCCCACCCTTGGTTAAGTGGTTACTGGAGCCAATAGACATCTACAATATAAATGCGCCATCCACCTTGAGATATAAGTTCTAAGGTCTCAGTATAGTTACAACGGCTACCCCACCCTTCAAACCGAAACGCATTACTGCTTCACGGCAGAAATAGGCGGGGTGGTTGTACCTATCCGTGCGGACTCACAAGAGGTCCTACCACCAGTGATTACGCAAATTATAATTTTGCAGGTTTGATTTTTATTACACGATGTTATTCCTTCACCGTGGAAGTCAATCGTGAACATTTGTTAAGTACGTATTTCATTAGAAAAATTGGTACCCGCGTGCGGGATTCGAACACCGGTGCATCGCTACATACGAATGCATCGGACGTCTTATCCTTTAGGCCACGACGACTTCAAAATCAGTTAATGATCAGTATCGTTGTGGGGGCGCTAATGTTTAACCTTAAATTAAACGATAAATTTAAAATTTCAGTCTTTATCAACTTATTATTGATTATTATTATCATGTACATAAATTACTATTATTATTAATTTTAATAAATTATTACTATGAAATTAATATTTTACTGTAGCATTAAAACTTTGTTTGTTTAAAAGTAAAAAAAATAATTGGTTTATTAATTAAAGAAAAGATTGATTTAAGACGGCAAGGGAAAGATAATTTTGTTTATAAAGATATTTTAATAATGACAATAAATAAATAATGTTCATTTTAAATGTCCAACGAAGCTTGCGGGTACAGCTAGTTATATATAAAAATGAAATTAGGCCGAATCAACCGAAACCGTCACCACAAATCTCAAAAACCCGTCTCGTGAATAAAAAATTTAATAAAAAAACCTAGGTAACCCTACCTGGTGTCTTAGGCAGGCATACAGGTCGGATGGCGTGCGAGTACCCAATAGGCCGGCTCAGCTGTATCAGCGAGATGTCATTGCTAAGCTCCTTGAGGTTGAAGTTGTGGACTATGACTTTGACGACGTAACGGGTTTCCGGCGTATGAGAGCGGTCACAGCGATCGTGCTCTCCGAATTTCACACGAAACATGAACCACATGAAGCTGTGTATCGAAAAGTTAAAAATTTATTTGAGTTTGAAACGAGAGACATTGATTTGCTCTTAGCATCTTAAACAAGTGAAACTGGAATTAATTGCGCTATATTGTATATGTTACTATTTTGTTTCCATAATATTAACATTAATAATGAATGAATGAATGAATGATTTATTTTATTTCAGACAACAACAAGTCCATATGTGTACATAGTATTATTAAAAACATACTTAAAATTAACAAAAACAATCATATAAAAAAGATACATTTGTTAAAAATAATTATCAGTTGAATACATTTCAAATTATCCATTCAACTGATACTTATTACTTCGAATCAACCATTATTATTATTATTTAGTCCGCAAGTGAACCATGGTACAATGATTCAAGTACCGACAGTCATAATGGTCTGTTAATGCCTTCAGGATGCTGTTAGGGCTGACCCGGACCATGAAACTATCAGTTTACTGTTGAAGGTAAAATTATTGTAATCTAGACACCAATTGCTATTATTGCCTAGTCACATAGTGCAACTATGTATCTTAATATACATAAGCTGATTATTGTTTAGACAGCTTATAAAAACGAGCTGAGTTCTCAAAATTAAATATCAACTAGCTTGATAACCGCAGGTATATTTACATAAAGGAAAAATATATTTGGCATTTAAAAATCTAAATAGTTAATAAATTAACAACAGAAATACGCATTCTAATTTAAAACACTTTTTGTTAAACTCTTCAAATGTTAATATAAAATGTAATAGTGGAACGAACTCATATTGCTCGAAACTGTCAGTTCAAAAATGTTACATCAATTAATTAAATTATTTCCGACAAAAACAGCATGATGTATATATACCGTCATAATATTATCAAGTTCTAATAAAATAAAACTCGTTATCCCCTTCTCGTGGTAATCTTCATATTTCAACTCTCCTTTATAGTTGATAAGAAGAGAATTAATGGAATTATTATTCAAGGCTTTTAGAGTCCGATACAAATTTCAAATCAAGTTTAGAAATGTTATCGTTTAAACAAAAAAAAGGCGACGACGCCGCGACGTCCCGTTTAATCATACCTTATTACTAATAATATTATTTATATTAAAATTAATAATATTAACATTATACAACTTATAATAACATTATTAAAAAGTATATTTTATATACTTTTGATTACATACATATAATAATAATATGTAATAATAATAATTTATTTATTTCTCTCTTAAAAGTATAGTACAAATACAAATGGAAAATAACCTTATAATTTATTTTGTAAGCCTTTGCTGAAGAATAGAGCTGAAGTCTGTACTAGGTTCAAAGACCTGTATTACTGATCTCCAGGCTCCCTCTTTCTTAAGATAGATTAGGTTAGGTTAAGTCGTGAACAGATGCTGCGGACTAGTGTTGAGAGATCATTAGGTGTTATCATTTATAGTCATTGTGCGTGTGTGAATGTGTGTGTATTTGTGTGTGTGAGTGTATCCTTTGATTAGTTATCTTTTAGGTTATAGAAATGACTAATTTTGAGAGTTGAGGTCTCCGGATTAGACCGTTGACAAAAACGAAAAGATTGTATAGATTTTTTTTTTAAATAATTTAGCTCAATAAGCTCAATTTTATAGCTCAATAAGGCTGATAATTAGTTTTAATTTAACGTAAACTACTATTTGTCTCTGAGAATAAATTCCACTGACCTTATATTTTAAGGCTAAATACTTTGTTCGTGTATTCTTTAGAGTATATTTATAATACTATAAAAATTTTGGTGAATATCTCAAATTTGAAAACGACAAAAGAATTTTAAATTTTATAATATAATAGTGTATCTGTAATATTCAAATTATAATTTGGAACATTCTAGAAAAATATTGTTGTTACGTCACCACATACATACCCTTTCAAACAATGAGCCGCAGACACAACATATCTATCGTTGATTAGCGAAGCTCCACATCCGAAAGACTTTTGGTAAATGAGTCGAGCCAGCCACGGGAAGGCGTTGACATTTGTCCCCATACCTCCAACCACACGAGGCTTCTCGTTACGTTCTCCACAATCTAAATTTCAAACACAACTTGCACAGAATATTAAATTACTAGTTAAAAAAAGTAATGTATTTATTATTTCACTTGGTGTTTTAGGATTGTACGTAAACAGAGTTATTGATGAAATAAAATATTATGAGGAAGATTGGGTTGAGATTTATATTATTAAAAAAGGAAAAGATAGTGAGTCTGTAATGTTGGAAGTTGCATCTAGGTAATATCCTATGACAGCGTTATAAGATTTTTTTATGGTCTATAGATATTATTATATAGTAGTTTAAATGGTAACACGTTTCTAAGCAAATTCATTCTTTTAAAATCGTTCATCGTTCTCGTCAAACCTCGTATCATCGAGCTCGAGTTCGGCGAGTAAATTAACCCACAGACACAGCCCACTGAGTTTCTTGCCGGATCTTCTCAGTGAGTCGCGTTTCCGATCCGGTTGTAGATTCTGCGATGCAGTGCTCTTGCTAGGGCTAGTGTTAATAATGTAACTAAGTTAGAGCCCCGTGAGCTCACCTACTCGCTCGATTACGCTGGCATAACCCTCGAAGGCTACAAGGTTAGGTAGGGAAAAAAAAAGAAGGACTTAATGGACAAAATGCACTTACGACAGTCTTGACATGGTGGCAACTGTCCTTGGTATTGTGATCGTATATTAGATGAATCTTCGCTAAGCGAAACTCCTCCCTAAAATATGAAATTAACTATTGTAAATATGTAATTTTAAAAGTAATTAGATCATTGTTTGATTCTTGAAAAAAATCCATGAAAATTACGTGACGATCTGTGAGAAACTAAAGATAAAACGCATTGTGTAGATCGAGCTTTAACGGGAAACGGACAGACAAATTGCTGACTTGCAATTCTATCGAGAAATTAACAGTAATTACAATCTACAACATTTTTATTAGTAACTTTTTTCATAAAATTTAAGTGAGTAGTAAAATAAAAATTTTGTTACATTTTGTAGTTTTACATATCTTAAATCAAACAATAGATAATAAATGCAAGCAAACGAGGTAAAATTATGTGAAAAAAGGAATAAATTACATTTTTTTTAAAACAATATTACCTGATTTTTCGTTTAACTACTAATTAAATACATTTATTACTAAATTAGAACACTGAAAGTAAACTAGCTGAAATGCTTCAATAAAGAGCGAAAAGTTAAATAGAGCATAGTGAAATTTACTTCATTTAAATATGTTACCGTAGGTCAAGTGTAATTATTATTCTTTTAATAGCGCTTCACTTTAAAATACCTATTGTTTTTCGTATTACTAACACGGCGCAAATAACTGTGAATCCTAATCATACTGGATGTGATATGACAATAACGTGATCTTTGATATATTCTATAGTATTGGTTACAAAGAAATCTACACTCCGATGAAATTTTCACGTTTTTTTTTTTTATTTCTCCTCTATTAGAAATACTTTAGTTGAGCCTTTTAGTAAATTATTAAAGTTAATTTTCGCGCTCGACACAATTTGTGTGCGTTTTAATAAAATATATAATATTTTAAAAAAATCTGATAATTTACCTCATTGATATATCGCGACGTAGGAGTACCCGAAGCAACACGCAAGAGACAACAAAACACCAACAACCACATTTTCATAGAACAAAATGATTTATTTTAAACTTAATATTCATTTCACTCAAAAAAGTCCCATGTGCTTGAAGTTCAAGGTTTTTGATACACTAAGTCATGTCTTCGATCTCAAGGCACTTTATGGACATCGATACACTAAAATGTTGCCCAATAAAAATCAAAGAAAACTCCAAAATATCGAAAAATAATTTACAAACAAAAACACTAAATTGACTTTAATCAATAATTGAAATATTAATGCATTAAAGTCAAGATTTATTTTCTACTGAAATTCAAAAAGCAGAATATAAATGTGTTAACATTTTATAAAATAACATCTTAAAGCGAAGTTTTAGTGGACTGCGAAGACTCGGAGAAAGATTGCGTGTATTTGGCAATGACCTCTAAGTTCAATGAACCCGTTCAACCACCTACTTATATTAATGACATCATTATAACAAGCCTTAAGTTGTTACGCTTAAAGCCGAAACTCTTTTAAATTTTATAAGCCTTTATTCCGTAAAGAAGTATTTTCCTTAAATGCACATGTATTTCGCATTTTATGGTACTTTTCAAATTATCCTTCACATTATACAAGGGTATTTTATGTCAATGAAGCAGTAATCTCAAAGGATCTTAAATAATAAAATCTGACAAAATTGATACTTTCGGTTGTTTTTTCCTATAAAATTTGATAAAAAAAAAGCATTAATTTAAAGCATAATAAGTTTTGCAAAATTAATCATTGACGGACAAGGAGCTAATAATAATACACAAGAGCGTATTGTCTTCATATACATACTTACTGTAACTTGAGTGCTCTGAGGAATTGTTTGAGAATTGATACCATCATCTCGTTTTTACCATACCGCACCGCTCGCCACCGGAGTAGAATTCATCCATACTACCTGGAGCCACTGCGTTCATCCACAGTGCGTTTCCAGAGATCTTTTTTGCCATGTACCTACCATCCGGCTTTGGAATGAGCTCCCCTCCACGGTGTTTCCCGAGCGCTATGACATATCCTTCTTCAACCACTTCGATCACAATAACTAGGTACTAGTAGTGCTGGCGTTCCGGGTAGGGTAGTCAAGCATTCCTAATTAAAGGGTAGAACAATCGTTGCACAGACATAACGATACTTCAGTCGTATGATTTAAGGTCCTTCAATAACTGTTGTCATTTACGATAGCCATCGTGATCGTCATCCTTATTTGACAGTAAAAGAATTAATACCCATTGGGCTGAAATAATTTGAATACTCGCATAGACCGATAGGCCATGTTTTTTTTATTGCTTAGATGGTTGGACGAGCTCACAGCCCACCTGGTGTTAAGTGGTTACTGGAGCCATAGACATCTACAACGTAAATGCGTCACCCACCTTGAGATATAAGTTCTAAGGTATCAAATATATTTACAACGGCTGCCCCACTCTTCAAACCGAAACATATTACTGCTTCACGGCAGAAATAGGCAGGGTGGTGGTTCATACCCGTGCGGACTCACAAGAAGTTCTTCCACCAGTTACATGTTCAACCTTTTAAAGGGTTTCCAAAGCATATAATAACCACGCCTTTGTACCCGTTGCTCATTTAAATATGAGGTAGAAGTCAAAATTGTGAAGTCAGTCATGTCACAAGTTTCATGGAAATAAATAGATTTTTTTACATTAAAACACGACTATTCATTCATCGTCTCTATTAAAAATGGTCTCGGCCCGAGAATCAAAAGACCGTTGACCACACCAATTGCAGATTGAACAATGATACTTCCCCTGTCGTGGCGAATTTGGAGAGGCATCTGAGCAAACAACATATCCTTAGATCAGAAAAAATAATTAAACATTCCAGTTTGATTGATACAAGAAAGTATTCTGGTAACTTAAACTTTGATCTCATACGTCATCGTGGGTGGCATTCACGCTATGTTGTCTTGGGCTTTGAGATCTACTTAACGCCAGCTAGACTATGAGCAGCTTTTGGCACTGCTAATACCAGAAAGGTTGATTAAAACACATGCTTAATTTGAGGTAATTTATTGGTGAAATTACATTCTTTCTATCAATATGTACGTATAATTAAGCTAAATAAAAACCAATTTACTTAAACATGTATGGCATAAGAGACGACAGAAGGAATCAATTACAAAAAAATCCTTAGAAACTAATGAGTACTAATTACTTATCTAAGGAGATTTGTTTCGCGATGCGTGTACGTATACTTTTGTTACTTAAATATTTCGATAAATTTGCTGTAGAATTTTAAGTTAGTATTAATAAATCTAACTTTTAATGTAAAACTTACAGAAAGCTCCAATAATTTATAACAATAATACGAAAATCAAAGATTTAATTTACTAAAATATTTACCGAAAATAAATAAAAATATTAACGCTATATTAATTTTTGGCACATCACAAAATGGACCAGAATAAGTACTGTTAATTTGTAACTTAATAACCATAGTGACTTTAGAATAATTTCCAAATCAATTGAAGGAATAGAGAGAGCATTCTTTACTGATTGACATAATATTCGTATAACAAATATGTCAGACAATTAATCCGTACAGTGAGAGTTTAAAATATTACTGCTATTACAAGGCTATATCGTCGAAATGTAGAAGAAAATCACCGTCAATTTAATGACATAATGATTTTATTTGCGAGAAAAAAAAACATTTAACTCTCCCAGTTTTTTTTTTTTCAATAAATTTGTAAGTAAGCGTCAATTCATTGGCACACATACTACTCTTCCGTGTATATATTTATATCTAATATTTAATTTCTTATAATATATTTTTGTTTCTTTAAGTTAATATTATTTTTGATTGTGAACGAAGTTTTGCACCCAGAGGTAAGAGCACAAATTTGAAATGCGTGTTAAGAATCCGTCTCACAAATTTAAATTATTTATTTTGTGTAGAATTTAAATATTTAATTTTGTGTAAAATTCACACGATATACTCTCATTTTTTGTTATTCAATTATAAAATTCACTAATATAGAATTCTTAAAGTATGCATAGAACGATTTCAGCTTGAAATTAATGTCAAGCGATGATTTGCCGCTTACTATGTAACGTGAAAACGAATATACTATAATGACATAAATACAGTAGTTGACAAATAATTAAATCCTAAAAATACATCTACTTTCGTCTAAATTCCATAGATATAAGGTTTAATATAAATTGTATATTTAGGTGTGTATGTTATTTTAAACAATATTTTAACTGCATAAGATTACTTGAAAACATTTATCATGCTATTTATAAACATAAGATTTCTTTCAAATCACTACTAAGCATATCAGACCTTTTAATTCCACCGGTATAAGAGTGTTTGTTATACGTCTAGCGTATTATGTAGATTTATACGAGAAAAAAAAAAAAAAAAAAAAAAACGATAGACTCAAACACCGAGTGCCTAATATATTTCTAAAGATACTGCTTCGGACCAAAAATATATCTCATGGTACAGTAGGTAGGAATATTAACCACAATACCAACGACTATTACTAGAATATCATTCTGGTTTACATTATTTATCAAAGCCAGGCAACTTTAAAATTTTATTTAAAATTTTATTTTCTTTTATTTCGCAACAAGTACATATTTCAGAATAGTAGTCTAATTTATTTGAATTTATTTCAAACTTTAGAGATGACCTTTTCTTAAATATCTTCTAAATAATGCTGCGCACTGCTTTATAAAATTTTAAACTGATATTCTATTATGGACATACATGTCGACGCTTGAAAGCCAAACCTGACTAAGCGACAATGCGTGAACTTTACAGTAGACTAATTTAAAGTTGAAATTCCTACCTGAAGAAAAAATTATTTTAACGAATCTAGCTGTAGCAGAATCTAGCTAGTAGCTGTAGGATTGAAATGATTTTAATAGACCTAGAAATATATATCTTTTGCGCATTGAATATGCTTATTTATTGCCTATCATTTATGTACAAAGCAGTTAATGTCGCTTAGTCACGTTTGCCTTTCAAGCGTCGATATGTATCATATGTATACATATGTATATACATAACGAATGTGTAATTTTTCAAAACCTATCCTTCGTTCATGATAGTGTGTGTTTTAAACTCACTGAACGTTTACATTCGTGAACAACACGAAATTATAATTTTACATATATATTTTTTTAATTTTACATCATTAATTGAATACACACTAAGCCCTGTATTACATAAAATAAATGAATCTGTTATTTTTGCTTTTATATCCAGTGAAGTCATTAAGCTGCTTAGCTAGAGCAATAGCACCCATCTTTAGTATTTTCTCGAATCCAGTCCAAGTATTTCGTGACTCTGGTGTAAACGCCTGGGTAGCCAGCCCTGGCACAGCCATTTCCCCACGACACTACACCTAGAAAATTAAGATATTTTCCGTTAATTCGGGAAAAGAGAAGTAAAAAATGTTAGTGGTGTTTATAAAAAAATTAACCTAAGACTAAGTAGTCTAAAAGCTCTATTAAATATTAAAGCTTTTAGAGACATTTAATTAATTTTAAAGATTTATAGACGTATAGATTTATGCAATCAACGTTGATGTAAGAAAATATGGTTATAAAGAACTAGCTTTTGTCCGCGACACCGTTCGCGTGGAATAGTTACTTTGGCATAACGCAAAATTTTACCCCCACTACATTTACGTAGAAAGTGAAAATATTTTTGAATTATAGAATGTTAAGGTGCTATTTAAATCTAAAATTGTATCCACTTGTATTAGCCTTACCGTAATGTTATATAGCCCATAGCCTTCCTCAATAAATGGGTTATCTAACACTGAAATAATTTTTCAAATCGGACCAGTAATTCCTGAGATTAGCGCGTTCAAACAAACAAGCTCTTCAGTTTTATAATATTAGTATAGATTTATTTAACATAAACTAAAATGATATATAAATGATTTGAAAGTATCGACCAAAGAGTCCTAAAATACAATAATACTATACTATCACTTTATAACACTTAATAACGTTAACACCAAGTTTATTATTGCTTCTAAGTTTTTCATCAGGTATATAAATTAGTAAAACATATAAGTTGAATATAAATATTTGACTAACCAATCAATTCGTAACGTTTGTCTTTCCTCTCGGTAATGAGCGGGCCGCCGCTGTCTCCCTGGAATAATCCAAAAAAAATCATCTAATTAACACAGTACAAACAAAGATAATTTCTTCTAAAACCAGTTTAAAAAAAGCACATGAATTAGCGTATGTAGCCACGAAATCTAAAACACTCGGTGAACTTGTATGAATTACATTTTCTCTCTTAATCTTCTAATAAGCATCAAGTTAATGCCGCCGCCCACCATGAGATATTACTTCTAAGTCTCGGTTTTATAATACAACCGCTGCCTTATCATTCAAACCAGAACACATTAGGTACTGTTTCACGGCAGAAATAGAAATTCACCTGTCATAAGGATTGGTTATAAAAATATCATTGTGACAGGTGAGTACTTATATTATTTTTGACGTATTAAAGAATGGCTACGTAGCTTTAAGAATAGATTTATATAGGTATTTCACCTGACAAGAATCCTTTTGTCCCGTTTTCGGATAGCCGGCGCACAACATCCTATCGGTTATCATGGCAGCTGTATATTTCGTTTTACGGCATTCTTCGTTGCTTAATACCGGTACTTCTACCTCTTGCAGAGTGCAGGAGACTTTGCCCTCCTCTGTTAGAGTTCCCCAGCCCGAGGCTACGGCTGTCACTCCGACATAGAGACTGTCTGTTAACAGTGGAAGGATTATTTAAAAAAAAAAACATTGGATTATTGGTACTTTTTTCTTTGGTCTTTTTTCATTGGAAGATTGGTACTTTTTTCCTTTGGATGTGGTCGTAACTAAATAATAATTATGTTATAATTTAAAAACTAAAGAATACACTTGAATGGAAAACTGAACTACGATAGCATCTTTTTTATCATGTCAATACTAGTTAGGATATTAAGAGCGAAGAAATAAAATTATTGTATTGTCATCGGTCCTTGATGCGTGTGCAAGCTTTCAAGTTAATCGCACGACTTGAAGTCGGTAAAAATTGCCGTTCAATAATTCCATGACATCCAAACAAACACATATACAAACCAAGCTAATAAAAGCCTGTCAAAAATGGTGAGATTATCGCGAATAATTTCTAGGGTGCTGAAATACTTACAATAATAATAAATAATAATAGTAAAATCATTTAGTGCCTTTCAAATTAAAATAAAATATAAATAAAAGAAAAGGAAAAAAAGGAAGAGCCAAAAGAAGGTGGCTCAGCTAATGCTGTTCAAGGTCGATAAATCGAACAGCGCTGATTTTCAATCACCCCCGTTTTCCGTTTGTTCAACATATCATTCAAAACTATTGATCATCATCACCTCAAAGTAGACATCGAATTTTTATTGTTCATTAAAAACTGTCAAATTTACAAGCCTAACCATTTGTACAATTTTTTTCTTCATTAAGATATTCGTTCTTTATAAGTACCACAAAATATTATGTTATGAAATAAGATAAAATAATTTAAATCAAAATGAAATTTCTCACCATCGTTAAAAGGCAAACAAATCGGTTTGATCGCTTCCGAGATTGGAACTTTTTCATTAAGTCTCAACAGAGCGATGTCGTTGTTGAAGTTGCTCATACTAAAGTTGTGGGAAATGGCTCGCACAACAAATCTCGTCTCAGGCCTCTCGGTCGCATTACACCTGTTGTGTTCCCCAAAGGTCACCTTAATCATGAACCACATGAACCTGAATAATAATAAAAAAAACATATAATCCGCTGTACAATAACCTAAATGCAAATAAATAAGACGACCATTATAAAAACCTAATTACGTTCAGGTATACCTTGATTCCATCGATCACTCAAATAATAGCACTTAACCTAAAAAGTTTTACAGTACTCGTCATTTGAAACGGAATTGACGCGTTGCTGGGAATAAATCCTAAATATAAACGAAAATAATTTTAAAAATATTAAATTCTATTTTTAAATTCAGTCATTTGCTTATTATTGCTTAATGTTTCGATTTCACCACATTAGAATCTTTTTCGTCATAAATGAACACGAGAAAAAACACGAGTAATTGTGGAATATGAGTTCCGACGCGGTAATAATTCCCCGCAAACGGCTGACTACATTAATGGCGTGTATAGCGTAAACACTAAATACGAATGTAATACTCCTTATTTATTGGTTTGAACGGTTACAACATAAAATTGTTGGTCTAAAAAAGGAACCCCGTGGCCGCCTGAAAACTAAAGCCAACAACGACTCATTAAAGATGATAGTGTAAGCTGACAATACCCAATCTAACACTGAGCTAGCAGCTTTTTTAGTCCCTACTTAATCGTTCGTAGTCTAAGGGGCAATCGCAATCACTGCTGCTTTCAAACAGTGAATTCGTCGAGCTTTCGTGAGCTTCGTCGAATCTACCACCTGATCGGAATCGCGACCCATTGAGAAGATCCGGCGAGAAACTCCGTAGATTGTGTCAATAGGTTAGTTCGCACGTCGAACTCTTCGCCGTAACTAGCAGTAAATTCCAACGTTAGGATCAAAATAATATTGGTCCATTTGCGTCATATTAGCCAGGCAAAAAAGCTTCATAAGTGGTTGCCACCAGAACTGATCGATCGCCAGCGCGACGAATGCGTGGAGGTATGCCTTGCGTTGTTTAAGAGATTTTGAACCGCATATTCACCTGCGATGATAAAATGGAGTCTTTCTATAATGGTAAGCGGAAGCTAGTTCAACACCTAGACAACAGCCCCAACGAAAACATACACCTAAAAATGTATGGCCACTGTCTGGTGGTCTTGTGCCAGTATAATTCATCACAACTTCTCACCAAACGGTACCAGTATGACTATGGATGTGTACTCTGAAGAACTGGACACAATAATGAAGAAGCTCTCGAGTCTCCCAACCGCGGGGTTTCCTAAGTGCTATGAAATGTCCTTCTGCAATCGAGGCTTGCAGTGTGTATTCAATGGTAAGCAGCGACTTGGCTGTAACCCTGGCGTTGCTGACGTCTATGAGCGATGGTAACCACTTACTATCGGGTGAGCCATATGCTCACCTGCCTACAAATCTAATCTCTCGTCCCTCCTACTCCTGCACGACAATGCTCGACCACATACATCATAACAGATTATCTCTAAACTATGAGAGGTTGTAAGTTACGTCATCCACCGTACTTACCAGACCAACAGACCTACTTTCTTCTTTCAAAGTATGGACAAGTTCTTGGCAAGGAAAAAATTCAGCATCCCAGAGGCAGTATAAGTAGATAGATTTATACCATGGATGCATAGTTTAATTGATAGAAATAAAATTTAGAAACAAAAACTTAAAATTAAATTTATTAAAATTAAACGGCGATATCATAGGAATAGATAGATAATATACCAAGAACGAGAAACTCATATGTAATATGTATCTGCAATGACTTTCGTGAAGGAAATTTAAGAATAATTTTACATAGGAATGCAACGAACAGGTGATACCGAACCTTGATTGGAAAGTCGCTTCCGTACAGCGTGACAGTTCTGCTTTGTACAATTCATTGTGTAACTAATTGTTAGGGTCTGTGTCAATTGTACAATACCACGATAACCGAGTCAAGTTTGTGTCGGCATTGAGCGAAAGTGAGCCAACGTTTTGGCAGACGACGGTCATGCACACCATTAATGTCACTTCATTTACGCTTTCACCAATCTACCAATATCTCATTACATACAAACGTCAATTTTCCTTATGTTAACATAACTTAAGAGAATTAAGCGGTAGGCAGCGGCTTGGCTCTGCCCCTGGCATTGCTGAAGTCCATGGGTGACGGTAACCACTCACCATCAGGTGGTATGCTCGTCTGCCTACGAGGGCAATAAAAAAAATAAATAAAAAAAAAACTTCATTTGCAGACGTCACAAAGGTCACGATACTGCGCATTTGCTGCGCGCGCTTTATTTAATCGTGTCTTGGATATTGTTTTTCAAAACAAAAGCCTTCGCAGGAAGGCATCTAACATGGTGATTTGCGAGGATAATGAACTTTAAAATTTGGAGCTCGCTCCCGGGCCGGTTTGAAGGTGAACGTACTTATCGATACTGATTGGAATTCATAAATTCGAACAGCAAAATTATTTTGGACTCGTTTGCCGAATCATAGGTGATCAGACCTGTATTTTGATAGTAAATCTTATTTGCAGCTTGCAAAATCTCTGCAATCGTTACAGATTAATACATACATTAAGACAGAACTCAATCATAACCCAGCGAGTAAGTATTAATCTGGGATAAAATGACTTTTTTAATTTACATTAATTGAGTTGTTCTACTAAGTCTCTTGTACCGTATTCACTAATTACTTGGCATTAACCCAATTACAAAATGCTTTAAGTCATTTGAAGCGCTATTGTTTCCCGGAAAGAAATCAAATGACATCAACTGTTTCGATTAACCTTAATTGCGTATGTTATACGCGTGACATTAATTTCGAGGATTTCAAAACTGGGAGCACAAACAGCTAAGGTATCTCTACCATGAGTGTCGGCGATCTCTAGTTTGACTAGCATTAGTAGCAATGATTACGCTAAGTAGCAAATCGAAACAAAAAATCACTTCATCTTCAAAACACCAGCCGTACCACAAAGTAGCGTTAAATTACATTATTTTTCCTTGTTTTCCGATATTTCTACGAAAAAAGCATCAGTGATTTTAAAGTTTTGAACATGTGCCTATAAATGTTTCATTGAACTTGTTTGAATCAACTTTTAAACATAGAGCTGAATTTTTAAGCACAATCGGAACTTAATAACTTAAAAAAACAATAATGCTAAAATGATAATCCTAAATATATGAATAGTCTAAATACATATATACATAAATAGTCTAAACTTAATGACCCCTAATAATCTTAATGCCTGAGTATATAAATAATGATTAATCTGTATCAAAAACGAGCACGTCTTAGCGAAATCCTTAAACATAAATCATTTGAAATCGCTTTCGTTAATTACAAAAAAAGAAAGGCGGCACTAAAATGGTCAAAATAAATTTCAAATACTGACTTAAAATGCTTGCATGTGTGTGTAGAGTCAAGATCCTCTAGAGATCTTAAACAAATATTTACGCATCTCTCAATTAGCGTATTCATAACACCGCGCTGAGACGTTCTATGGAAATTATTGTCTAATGGATAAACATGGGTTTTTTTAATTAACAAAAAAGATGAAATATTCAACTTGTTCCTTTAAACTATTTAATTTACTCATATCATATCATATCATACTCATTTCATTGAGAAAATTTTGATATTTTAGAATAAATCTCGAATTTTTATAAATACTAACTTCATAAGGCATTTAGATAAATAATCGTTTGTCATTAATTTTTATTATTTGTAATGTAACTAAACGTCGTGACAGCTGAGGATAAAGGAAATGAGAATAGATTAAATTGATCGAACTATAATAAAGAGACATATAAAGAAGATGTTCCACGAGACCTGGTGGCAATCAGTAAGTTAGAGCCCATAGATAGTTCCAACTTTACATCGCTTGACGCAAACCTGGACAAATTAATATGACCTATTGCTTAGAAGTAGGACCGTGGTTCTTACTAGTGTGGGATTAAATACCCCATGCCATTTTTAATGTTTTTTATTTACCCCCTTTTTACCATTATTTGACCAAATTCATCTTTAACTATGTTTGTTATTATAGCGATTGTTGGTTTTCTAATTTACGACTTTTTTATTATTTAGATGAATTATTTTAAGTGGTTATCGAGGCTATAGGGATCACAACATGAAGAAATAGGCTAGATAATAGAGACTATATGCACGGGCTTATATCCTACTACCAAAGTCACGTCCTTACGAATCCATCAGATCCAGTAGCATTAGACACCTTCAGCTCTAACACTAGGAGCAGGCTTAGGGAGCCCGTTAACCGTAATCGTCGAACTCGACAAAGAGGTCGACGTGCAACCTAACCCGTTCATCAGCCCGCTGAGTTTCTCGCCGGATTTTCTCAGCGGGTCGCGATTCCGATCCGGTAGTAGATTCATTCGCGAAGCAGTTGCTCTTGAGTGGTTAGGTCTCCTTCGGAGGAGCTCTCGCAGCTGTTAGCAAATCTCACTCCATGCAACTCCAAAGTACTCCATCCAGTACAAATGCAATACAAAAATCCAAAAAGGCGAACATAACCGATGGTAAAAAATTTAGAAAATCCGTTAATTTTTTGATTTCTCCTATTTAGAATTGTTTTTAGTTTAGAATTAGCCTAATTTCTAGAGGTATTGATGTAATTTTCTTACCCTTTCACACAATGAGCAGCTGTTAGAACATATCTGTCATTGACTAGCATCCCGCCACAATAAAATTTCTTAAAGTACTGAAGCTTAACTATCCAAGGAAACTCATCAACTCCTGCTTCTACACCTCCAACTATTCTGGATACTTCATTTCGTTCACCGCATTCTGTAAATACATCACATTTTATAACGAAACACAAACTCAATACGCTAGTATGTATTTAAGTAATTCACTTGAAACTTTGACTAATTCACTTGACACTTTGACTAATTCACTAGTTCTTGACAATAGTTCGGTTTCAAATCGCAGTAAAAAGATGTAATGGAAGTACCCTTTTAAGGAACATAATGAAAAGAATTTACGTATAGACTGATTTCCTTAAATGCAAGAAATCTTATTTGTTTATCTAACTTGATCGTATATTTTATCAACTAAAAAAGGAAAGAAAGTGAATGCTATTTTAGGTAGATACTTTGTAAGATCCATACATAGATTTATGTACCTTTATTTATTATAGTAATTACTGACTACTCAGATGTAACAATATTTAGCGGTGAAATAATAAAACATGCTATATTTTTTTTAGAATACATACAATAAACCTACTTCGCTTCATACATTCCACCTAACCCTATTTTTTCTTAATATCTCACGTGTCTCCAAGCTTTGTGGTGTCATGCGTATTAGTGATGCGAAAGCCAAACCAACAATTCTTCAGTTTTTTGGTAACTTAATATTAACATTCAGGGAAAATTGACGTCAGGCAAGCGGCCGATCGTCGATTTCATATAATGTCAGATAAGGACAAGAAGAAGAATTATGTATACATACAATCATAGTGCTCAGTGTGCAGATGCATGTAAGCAGGTTGCTTATCTACGAAAGCGAATACATTGTAATTTAATAAATAACTTACTGCAAGTGCATGTTGTTCTGAATCGATTGGCATCCAAAAAGGGAGGTCGGTTTCCCCATACACCACCGAAGAAATTCTTCGTGAATATACCCCTTGCATCACGCACAATTTCATCACCCTGAAGTTTCGAAATATTGTATGAGCAACATCTTAATTCTGTTTAATTATTTATCAAAAAATAAATATGAATTATACAAATAGAGTCTAACAATTAGCATATGCTTATTTTAGATACAATTTTGTAATATAAGATCATACTTTCATACTAGATGCACATTCGTTTTTTCCTATTTACATATTTAACGCATTTTTATTTATGATAATCGCATTATATCTAAACTGTTCAATATAATTAAAAATAATAGTCGATATTTTACTATTCAAATATAGAAATAATAAAACAAATAGCTTAATGTTTATCAACTTTTAAATGGAATAAATAAAATCTATTTATAAACTGAATTTAATTTAAATGATAAAACCTTCATTTACACAGTTCATTGAAAAATATCTCATAAATAAAATATTAGAAAACATAAGTATTTTTTTAATAGTTATTAGTGTTAAGCTATTCATAGATATTTAATAATACAAATGAAAGCAAAAAGCATACGAACCTCAGTACAAGTGAAAGTTAAGCAGACACCTAATAAGATTAGAGCACTCCTCCACATTATTGAAGCTTAATAAAAAAAAAATTAATAAGACAAGACAAATATTTCTTATTTGAATATGTATTTAAAATATTCGCGGGCTACGGCCGCTTAGTACATCGTAGTTAATGTTGATGAGATCAACGCGCGCGTCCGCCAACCGACTCGCACTGAGATGCGACACGACCGCTAACATAGTCTCACAAACAACGGACGTGTTTTGGATACGCCAAGGTACCCACCCCACTAGTGGCGTGCTGATAAACAATAAATCAGAGCCATCGTCAGAGCAATCGATGAACTTGAATTTTAGACAAGTGTTCAAAGTGAACAAGTGAACAAAATTCTGTGTTCACTTAGACACCCAGTGATTCACACCTCCAGTTTTAAAAACTTTACTTTACAAGGATTCTAAAGTTAAGAAAGTGTATTTTGAGTTGATGTTGAGATCAATTAAACGGCAACAACTCGCAAATCATTGACAGTGCATCTTTAATTTATCCTAGGAAAACGAACCAATAACAATTCACTGATCCTTTTAAGAAAGTGTAATGTCCAAGATGCTATTGAGAAGATGATAATATTTATCATTTATAGGCACAATTGCTTTCAAAATAGATTAATAGATAAAACCAACTTAACCTAGAAAATTCAGTGTGGATTTATTACATATTTAATAATTAAACATTTAAAGATATAAATTTTTGCTATCAGCATTGTCAGTCCGAATAAGAATCATAGTATGTACCTAATAAGTTCCAATAACCGTTTAATACCAGATGTGCCAGTTCCTCTAATCATTTATGGGGAAAAGCCAGCCATTTTATACCTTTTATTCTATTCTATATAAAAATAAGACCAGTAAAAAGCCGGTATAGTTTGAGCCCTTGATCGTCATGCGCAGCACACATAAGGCGCATTTACATTTGCATTACACGTAGCAAACACGTCACGTAGGATGGTAAATTATGTATCGAAATCTTTATTTAAGATTCTGCAGTTGAAGTAGAAGCAACAGTGATGAATTGAACTCTTCACTCGAGAGCGGGTAGGCATCTAACGGTATTCGTTCATTACGAGATGCCAAGCTTTTTATTCTGTGACTTTAGCAATTATTAACTAAAAATGTTGGCGACAGTACGTAGTGTTTTGGAATAAATACTATATTATTAGTCAATCTTGGGAGTACGTTAATTTCGGAACATATGTGGCCCGATAAACAAGATCAAAGAAATTTTTTTAACAAAAAAAATTACCTATCTTCCATAGCTGTAAATGAGCCATTTGATACTTAGGTAAGTTGTTAATAAAACCCAGGGACTGCACATGTGCTGTATAAGAAATAGGCTCGAAATTTTAATTTAATGTATATCTCCTGCCTATAAAGCCACGGGGCTGCACATATGCTGTATGAGAAATAGGCTCAAAATCTTATTTTAATGTATATATCTCCTTTTCGTTTGACATTTACATTGACATGAGATCGAAGGATAGTTAATAAATTTAGTAATAGTAAGTTTTATTTATTTTTATTCGGTGTAAGTTATTACTGCTTCGCATTACTGCTTTACCGCAGAAATAGACAGGACGGTCTTTTAAGGATGACCGTTCCTACTTGGCTCAAAATACGCCGAACATTTTTTCATCTTTTAATGTACATTTACGAAATATTTGATTGTCCGTTTGTAATCTATGCGTTAACACAACGATAACTCCACATGCTTCCCATTTATTGTTTAAAATTATACAATGATGCATAGAGGTCACTTTTATATACTTTTTAAATTAATAGAAAAATACATGCCCGTGCAAATAGGAAACGTATGAAGATTGTTACAAAGGCGAAAATCCGTTATGACCGCATTAAGCAAATATTATTTTTCATATCTCATAGACCCCAAATCTTTGTTACAATGTGGGTTTTAACCAGACCACTGCTGGGACGACCAGTCACACAAGCTGTGGAAACCAGAGACTGAAACACTTTAAATATAAACACATATACATATTAAACACCCAGACAAAAAACAAACAAACTTGTTCATCACATGATCCATCCATCCAAGATCCTTGATCGATGTGGGAATCGAACCCATGACCTACGGCCCAGTAGTCAGGGACGCTAAGTGATACACTGCACCACCTAGTCAGTCTAATTATATTTTAACATCTGCTTAATCCATTGAATTGAGTCTTTGTCTGTTTCAATAAACAGACAAAGACAAAAAAAGACTTGCCAATGCAAGTCTTTTTTTTTATTGCTTAGATGGACGGACGAGCTCACAGCCCACCCGGTGTTAAGTGGTTACTGGAGCCCATATACATCTACAACGTTAATGCGCCACCCACCTTGAGATATAAGTTCTAAGGTTTCAATATAGTTACAACGGCTGCCCCACCCTTCAAACCGAAACGCATTACTGATTCACGGCAGAAATAGGCAGGGTGGTGATACCTACCCGTGCGGACTCACAAGAGGTTCTACCACCAGTGAAAAGTCACGGAAGGCTTGCTTCACAGTATGATATAGGAGTGGCATGTCATCATCGATGTCTAAGATTGACTGTCACCGCCAAGCATAGTAAAAGTTCACTAGTTTGAAAAGAAAAGACTAAATGTTAGTTAACAATTTTGTTATTTTGGATCTTAGATAATTAAAATGTCTTCCTGTAAAACAAAATACCTAATCATATATGGTATCTAAAGAAAATGAAACCTAATATTAACAATCTCTAACAATGGAAATACATCAATAAGGAGATGAATGTGACGCGTGCCGACCGGTTGTCGAGCGAAAGTGACTTTCCAAAGACAACTATATGGTGCCACTAACGTCCTTTTACATTATTTCTCGAGCTGATAATTCAGGTTTAGATTTGTGAACAAAAGAACCGTGTATGGAGAGAAAAATAGTGGAATTTTTTTTTTTTATTTGCCTTTTTTGACAGACGATAATACGCCTCATGTGATGGTGAACCGTTACCATCACTGATCATCGTCATCGATGCAAGAGGCATAGTCAATTTATGTATATGGAGCTTTAATATTTTAAAACCCCTGAAGCTATAGTATAATGGAACCTCAACGTTCACGGGATACGTCTACTATTGCTGCGAAGCAGTTAATTCTGGGTGAAAGAGTAAAACTGGCGTTGTTTTAAACAATCGAAACTTCAATATCACGTCTCATGGTAGCGGCGAGGACTATAGGCACAGCCCACTGGTTTTCTCAGTGGGTGGCGATTCCGATTCGGTGGTAGACTCTGCGAAGCACTGCTCTTGCTAGGGCTAGTGTTAGCAATTTCTCTCTGTTACCCGTCCGCACGTAACTGAAATAGCCATTTAGGCTACCAGCAAATAGATAGCGGAAATGAAAAGTAGCAGCTAAGCGTTGAAGTTATAACGAGACTTCAGTATCAACATAGGATCAGCATGGGCGATCTCAATACCTAACTAGGCTATGTCAAAATATTTAAGAAAAATAGACCCTGAATTATTTGTTGGGATATCTAAGAAATATCAAAATAAACAATAAGAAATCTTTTTTAAGGACAACATTGATTGAATCGAATGAAGTTAGGATATACATATACAGGTAGGCAGCGGCTTGGCTCTGCCCCTGGCATTGCTGAAGTCAATGAGCGACGGTAACCACTCACCATCAGGTGGGCCGTATGCTCGTCTGCCTACAAGGGCAATAAAAAAAATAAAAAAATACAACATGCGAAGGTTTTTAGTTAAATAAAAATATAAATTGTATTAGATTGTTTTAATTTTCAATAAATAGCAACTAAATACATCAAAACTGTTAATGGTCATAATTATAGCGCCAAGCAATAAATCGTTCATTGAACTTATATATATATTTTTTCTCCTCTTCATCTGTAAACATTTATTTACCGCATTCTGTCACGATGTCTTAAGTTATATGCGTAATCCGATCAACGACTTATCGATTTATGTGACCTTGAGAACAGGAATTTGGCCCTTGACCGCGACTTTGCTTATTCGAAATCGAAACCTAAAATGAAATACAGGTAAAAAGGTTCCATATTAAAAAGCATTTACGGGGACCTCAATCAAACTGGCAGTTTATAAACAAAGTAAAGTTTTTGTGCCCTTAAACAAAAGCTTATCTGATTTTTTTAAAATAAAACTAAGATTTAATTAGTGTCCAAACAACAATTTCTTTATAACAAAATAAATTAAACAATTTAATTACATATTATTTTTAATTAATGTACATGAAACGTGATGGGATCACAGATGCAGCCTAGAGCGGTCGACTTAAGAATAAAACGAAAAAAAGCAATAACCTCCACTGTTAATATTATTTTCAAATAAAAATTTACCGTAACATTAATTAATCCAATTTCCATTTCGTATCACATATGAGTTTTCCCTACTTTTTTTTTAACGGAATCAAGGTTGTACCTTTTTTGTCTTTTAGTTCTGGACAAAGAAAGATAATGTAGGATCGAAGGCTGATTATATTATTATATAAATAGATATTTAATTATTTAAATAAACACTATCGGTACGTTAACCGACTAAGTGGCGAAGTAGTTATGATCTCTGACATCTGGGTTGAGGGTCGTAGATTCGATTCGCTCTTCAGGTAAACATACATATGTGTGACGATTTTTTGTTATAAAAATATTATATGTCAGCCAGTTTCCATAGCACAGTGAATCCTAGTTTGGAGCTATGACCGTGTGTGAGTTTTCTCCCACTATCATTTTCATAATCTATAATGCTACTACTATACAAATTTCTAAGAACCCAACATGTATGCAATTATGCAATAACAAACTACAAAAACTACTTTTTAGGCAGCGGCTTGGTTCTGCCCCTGGCAATGCTGAAGTCCATGGGTGACGGTAACCACTCACCATCAGGTGGGCCGTATGCTCGTCTGCCTACAAGGGCAATAAAAAAAAAACTACTTTATTATTAATAGAAATCAACAATGTTTAGGATACGACTTCTTTAAATAATATAATCCATCTATATATTTAGAGAACGAATCAGAAATCATTTGATTACACTCGTTACCCGTTAAGGCCAGATAAATTTCTCAAATAATTATCAACCTATAACAATTAACTACACTGAGACCTTAGAACTTATATCTCAAGGTGGGTGGCGAATTTACGTTGTAGATGTCTATGGGCTCCAGTAACCACTTAACACCAGGTGGCTATGAGCTCGTCCACCCATCTAAGCAATAAACAAAATCTAAAATACTAAATAAATTAATATAACTAACTAACAAAATGAAAACATTTTTGAAGTTATACTTCTTTAGGCGCGTTATGAAAAATTGATGAGAGTGAAATTTTACGATGCGCGCGCACCGTGACACAAAATTAACAGAATGAAGTTGAATGAATGAATGAACGAATCTGAATATAGCCGCAGGTGAACTTTCAGAACCATACGGAGAATTACCGAATTTATACGATGTCAAGAAAAGGGATGTCCAATATGCGTGTTTTAGGATGTTGTTTAAACGATTTATTTTCCAAATTGATTAAAATTTAAATTAAAAAAAAGAAATACATTTAATAAAAATAAAGTATAACTTCTTACGCGCGTACATAAGTACACGCACCCTTTTTTTAGTTGAATTTCTATTTTAAACCATTTGAAATAGAACAGAGAATGCAATTCGCCTACTCGCCTTTTTAATGCACTACCTATAAACAAGAAATCAAGATGGCCGCCCGAGTTATCGTTGCGCATAGATAATATAATGTAATGTAAACGCCGCCATCCGCTTTGAGATTTGAGGTTGTAGTCCCAAATGTATCAAATGATTACGTCTGTTCACGGAATTTTGTGTTTCCTTAAAACGGTAAATATACCCACCAGACGGTGAGTAGTCATCATCGGCCATAGACCAACGATAGGCAAATAGATGGTACTTACTCGTGCGGGAAAAACTCAAATTTTTTTTCGACATAAATTTCTCTTCTACTGGAGGTTTTTAAGAAGCAAAACAACTTTTGTGCAGCGAAATTGGATTAAGCATTACATTTTTCTAACAAGACAAAACTAGCGAATGTTACATGTAATTATTCGATAAGTAAATAAATAAAAAGTTTTAAAAATATATCCTATTATGTTATTTAATATTAGATTAAAATAATGCTTAAAACACGTTTACGATTGATCTCTGGTTTTTTTGTTTTATTATTTTCGAATCATTGATGTTTTGAATGACCAAAGTTTTGTTCCCCAACGATCCATCTAGCAGACAAGATTATTGTTTGGTTCATATTCAGCGGTTGCAGTTATTCACTTATTTAATACGAGAGGCGTAATCGACTGTTAAGGCGAGATTGATACGTAAAAGTGTTCTAAAGCACGCCTACGACTCGCAAGAACTTCACGAATCGCGAACTAAAACGATTAAAATTAAAACGCATTGAACACTTAAGTAGTAACGTAATATTCTAATGGTAATCTGCACCACCGGCCTGACAATAATTCAGTTAAAATTAAATACAAAAAACAATAATAAACAAAACATAAAAATTAAAAAAGCACTCTTAAATAGATAAATTAACGTAGCACGTGATGTAATTCTAATAAAACTCTCCGATATAAGATAACACACATTACTAGAAACTATATACAAAAGTCTGTTATGAATGAATAATAAAACAAAATTATTCCTATACTCAACATAGCTATGTTAAAAGTTATGGCCAGCAAAGAAATTGCTACTGTCTAAAACTCATAGTATATTTAATACTCTCCCACTACAAATACTACTCATACATACACACTTATAACTGCTTTTACGGTTTATATTCGTTTTTTTTTTATTTCGCGTATATTGTGCGTTTTATTCTAAATGTAAAAGCAGCCGTCATTGCGTCTACAAATCACAGAAACAGAAGAAAATAATAATGATAGATACGTTCATATTTTGAAATGGTGTTGTGTGTACTGTGTTAATTTACCGGATTAAAAAAAAATATGATCATTGACAGAAATCACAATATTTTCAGTTTGAAACATCTTGAAACCTTATAAGCTTACTGCAATACATATCCAGATAAAATATATAAAACACACACAAGAGATAGCCCACAATTAAACTAGACATTATTTTCAGTGCAGATTGCAATGTTCATATTCAAATTCCACGAAACTATGATGTCCCATAAAATTGGAAATAATGCAAAAAAAAACATAAAAAAATGTTTTTTTAATTGCAAATGATGAATCTACAAAAGGATGAAAATAAGACGAATTTAATCTGTATTTTGAGCACTACGATACATTTTTCTTCAAATGAGACTCATGGATAACTAACTATCTTTACCATCCCATACCATCATAACCTGCAATTAAGTTTAATTTATAATGCGGCTATTCCCTAAATTGGTCACACTCATTCGCGACGATGTCAACTGTCTTCTGCTAGACGAAGCGCAACTGTTGCTGTAAATAATATTTTATTGTAATTTATTAATTTTGTCTAAGTTTCACACAGACATGTGTCTCGAAGGTTTGCTTTAAGCCAGGGTAGGTATCGAGTGACCCTCGTGTAGACTCCCGGGTATCCCGGTCGACCGCAACCGACTCCCCATGACACTATGCCTGTAACAGGAAAGTTAGTACATTAATTACAACTTGCGTTCGTTCGTCTACTACTGGAAAGCTCTTTATAATTTTGTAATTACTACACAGTTGAAATATTGACCTCGTGTCTCAAAGTGGGTTACGGAACTCGGGTTTGGAATCCAGTAACTAAACACCGGATGGACCCTGAGTTTGTTCACCCGTGTAGGTAATAACCTTGTGGCGAGCCCGAGTGCAAAGCCTGGACTGAAGTACGGCCCTGCGCTAGAGCATCGGACTAGAACATTCGACGGTACTCGCTAGTGCTTTTGTTCGGTTGAGTTCGGATTAGACATATTTATACTCCGCTATTGACTTATGTATTCTTGTCTATACTATCTATACTAATATTATAAAGAGGAAAGATTTGTTTGTTTGTTTGTTTCGAATAGGCTCCGAAACTACTGGACCGATTTGAAAAATTCTTTTTCCATTAGAAGCCGACATTGTCCCTGATGAACATAGGCTACTTTTTTTATTATTTTTTTATTTATTTTTTTTGGTTTCAGGTGTATTTTAATGTTTCCGAAGCGAAGCGAGGGCGGGTCGCTATGTATAATATCGCTCTTTAATTAAACATAAGATTGTAGTTGGTGGTAATATTTCACGTCGACAAAACTACAACCTCTACGATTTACCTCACGAAATGGCCGGACCGATTTCGATGATATTCTCATCAAAGCAGATTGGCCCCTTAAAATTTTAGTAGCGATCGGATCAATGTTCAATCAAAGACTGGCAGCAAAGTGAGCAGGATGGTGAGTGATTAAAAAAATGGAGCAACACAATAAATCTATCGGGACAATATATTAATGTCGTTTCCACTAAGCTCTAATGGATTCGGTAAAACCTCGTGTGGTATATGTATTTCGTATTTATAATACAAGGATATATATATGTTTTATAAAACTTCTAATCAGATACGAACCAACAATTTGATACTTGTCCCCTTGCTGAAGAAGCAAAGGCCCACCGCTGTCTCCTTGACAAGAATCGGTTGACGCCCTGCCCGCACACAGCTGTAAACGACAAAGTTGAAAAACAATTGAATTGGTAAAATTGGGAAAAAACACGAATTCAAGTTCTTACACTATAAACGCTATTTCAAAACATATGTAATTACGACTGTTACAAATATTGTTACGCCGGTAAGAGTAGGTAAGACTAGCTATCGCCGAATAGCCAAAACAAATATCAAAGGATCTAGTAACATCTAGAACGCTCGAGAAGTACAACGCCATCTATTGTCATATAACGGAAACACACATCGAAAATACTCGACTTGTGAGGAATGTTCTCGATAATTCTAGGGATGTCGTATCGACTATAAAACGTCGCAGAGATGGCAAGCAGTCAGTTAGTAATCAGAATTACTCGAACCGAAACAGCGAACGGATCACCTGCAGCAAAACGGAAGAAGTGAATTGAGAATTTTAAAGTGTTTTAAGTGTTCTAAGCGTTAAATACAGTTTGAATTTATACTTTGGTAGAATTTTATTTATCCCGAACCCCAGCGCGTAACAATATTTCTATTAGGTATTTCGTGATCAGAAAAACTATACTGACAATACAGATAATTTCATAAAAAATTTCAACATGGGATAATACGCATTTCCCCAACTATTAATCGTGCTCAATTTAAATTAGTTTTATTCAAGATGACGAACCATGTTGTTAGTGATCTTAGATGCACGGTATTTCAATCCTCGACACTGATTCAGTGATAGAATGGGCACGCGAACCTCCTGTACAACTGCGGGCAATTGACCCCCCTCGGATGTTCGCCCCCATCCCACCACTACACCTTCTTTTCCAGCTGGGTCAATACCTGAAAAACAATTTGAAAATACTCGTCTTTACATTTGTTTAAACAGTAATGTTCCGAATTCAATACCTGTATATGCATTTTTATTTTAAGGTCAATTATGACAGCTGGCGCCTTGATTGTGTATTTAGTTTTAGTTTTTTTTATTGCTTAGATGCGTGGTGAGCGCGCAGCCCACCTGGTGTTAAGTGGTTACCGGAGCCCATAGACATATACAACGTAAATGCCGCCAATCACTTTGAGATATAAGTTCTAAGGTCTCAGTATAGTTACAACGGCTGCCCCACCCTTCAAACCGAAACGCATTACTGTTTCACGGCAGAAACAGGCGGGGTGGTGGTACCTACCCGTGCGGACTCACAAGTGGTCCTACCACCAGTAATTACGCAAATTATAATTTTGCGGTTTTTGATTTTTATTACACGATGTTATTCCTTCACCGTGGAAGTCAATCGTGAACATTTGTTAAATACGTATTTCATTAGAAAAATTGGTACCAGCCTGCGGGATTAGAGCAAAGTTACATCCCTAGATACGAATGCACAGGACGTCTTATCCTTTAGGCCACGACGACTTCAGAACGACTAGTTTATTGCGCTTGATATTATTGTCATTAACTAAACGACGCTGGCGCCTGATACCACAATACGAGCAATATTTGAGTGAAATTTTGAGTTTATTTAATTAATCAATATTCGATACTTACTTGGAGGGGGCAAACAAACGGGCTTGATGATTTTAGAGAAATTCACGGGTTTTCTCAACTTTAGTAGTGCTATATCGTTATTGTATGATTCAGTGTCGAAGCTACGGTGGCGGACAATCGCAGAGACAGCCCGCATGATGGCCGCACTCTCGGACGTGATCGTCTGGTCGTGATCTCCGAGGATCACCCGGATCTTTGATCTTTTTAATCTGATTAAAATGAAAAACATGCCTTATTTTTCTATCATATAACACATTTTGATAAACGTGGAATTATATTAAAAGCAGTCAACAGTTGAATCCGAAATCGCTATTGATCATTGAACGCCTGTAAGAATGTCTCCGCAGATCAGAGCTAAACAATGCGTCAAGCTCCATCAAGGGATAAACGAAAAGTATCCTAACATGAATTTAAAACAAACTTCATTTACTAAAGTAAGTTTTTCTTCTACTTTTCATACAGTTTAAATTGTGTGAGTCGACAGCGAAGTATAAATAACAAACGCTAACAGATGCTTCTTAGGTCCTCTGAAAGCCTCCAGTTCTAAGTGTCAACTGATTTCTAAATATGACACTTTTTTTTAATCGCGCCGATGTAAATTAGCTTATGGCTCGTTAGGCGAAATGTGGCTAATCGCTCAAATGTGTATAAAACGTTCTGCAGTGTTAATTTACTACGGAATCCTATAAAAGAATAACGTGGATGCCACCATCCACTTTCAAGCATAAGGATGAAGCCCTAATTGTATTATTATCCAACGCCCGACACCTGAAAAACAGGTCTTATCACTCTTTCACAGCAGAACTAGATATGAATCTACCAATATGGGCTTGCAGTGGACTTACTTAAGCCCCGACGGTAATTAGGAAAATTTTACAATATCATTTAATTACTAAAGCAGAAAACAATACTGATTTGTACATAATACTAATAATGCCAAGCACTAAAACTGATTTGTCAATACTAAGCATTCAAATATTTTTTTTATAGATAGGTAACATGGTTTTAATGTTACATTCTGATTAGGAACGACAGATATTTACAAATTGACAACATCAACGTTCAAGATGTTTTTCAAAGCCATCTGTGGCGGCAAACTTAAAAGTTATCATGATTCCTCGCATCCTTCACATGTGTGCTAATTTTCAAAAAAAACTTTTTTTATGTTTGAAGGATCACTGGTGGCCCTGGAGCCTTTTCGGTTTCACCAGGACAGGTGGGCGAGCAAAGGCTCAGCTAGGAGGGGACTCAGCCAGGAAGGGAAAAAAGTTATAAAGAAGGGTATAAAAAAACGCACTTCTTGACACAATGCGCTGCTGTTAACACGTATTCCTTGGTGAGAACTGAGGCTCCACAGTGGAACTGTCCGTCGTAAACGATTCTGGCCATCCACGGGTACCGGTTTGAGCTGGCTGGCATCCCACCCACGATACGGTTCTCTTGGTTGGCGCCACCGCACTCTGTGAATGAGAAAGAGAATTTCAATTTGTCGATCGATTCGAATCGACTTTCGAAGACGAGCAGGAGCACCCGATGTGTGGTTAGTGCCTAGATATATAGCCAAATACCAGAGGCACAACCATACAAAACATAACACAGTCGCTATACACCATAAAGGATCTTACTTAAGCATTTATGTTAGTTTCCGTAAGCATTTACACACAAAAAATTTAAAATTAACGATTATTTCTCTAAGTTGAAACTTACTCGTGCAAGATAAACTGGAATTTAATTTTTACTTTTATACATATACTATACAACATACAAACGTAACTAAGCGACAATAACTGCTTTATACATAAATGATAGGCAATAAGCATATTCGATGCGAAAAAAAATATTATTTCTAGGTCTATTAAAATCATTTCAATCCTACAGCTAGATTCGTTAAAATATATATTTTTTCAGGTATTACAACTTTAAATTAGTCTACTGTAAAGTTCACGCATTGTCGTTTAGTCACGTTTGCCTTTCAAGCGTCGATATACAAAAGGAGCGAATTCTATAATTATCGAAATCGCTAAATTTAAAATCAAAATATCCTGTTATTAAAAAAACTGGACTTGCAAGATTCAATGGAATCGATAAAATTACTTTCACGTAAACCTTAAACAAGGAAAAGTACAGGAAATTCCATCGACCGGTCCCCGGAACATAGCATTTATGTCTACCCGCTATTAACATCGGTTACAACACGCTGACTTATCATCGAATCAAACGCATTTGAACTTTCACTTAGTACATGGTTCATTAAGCCTTCTTACCATTTCGCTTTGTGTACTTGCAAAGGAAAAGTCTTCGATAATGTTTCTCTTATAACAATAAACAAATGTTAATTGTTTTAGAACACAAATTAAATTTTCTCGTTAAGAACCACGACTGAAATCACTACTGCACACTTTTGTATTAAAATTTATATAATCGGTGCAAATATTTTTCACAAGTTCGTTTTGAGGAATAAGTAAAGGAACAAGCAAATTACAAATAGCGTTAAAGTACAAAATTTGTTAGATACAGGGAAATATTGTACACACATGAACAGTTGCTAAAACTACATAGTGCCATGGCCGTAATATTTGTGCTGTACACAATGATGACTTACCCATCTTTCTAGGTAGTGGGTTTGCCCTTCCGCACTCTATAGGACATTAACGGTGAAAATTAAAAAAGTACTTTTATAGTATTTAAAAGTGTAACAACAGACAGGAAGCGAAGAAAAAAATTCACTGAGGAAGATTCTAGTGCATCATTTGAAATAACATTTTTCAACGTGCTTAAATGTAAATGCTAAATGTTGACAAGTTTACTCAACTTTCTTGACTAACTGAAGATGGTTTTGAGCATTACATTAACTAATTAATTTTTTTAGTAGTATTGCATGTAGTATAACTCAAGGTGCTACGTATCAAGCCCGGACATAAGAAGACACAAGTTTTTTTTTATTGCTTAGATGGGTGGACGAGCTCACAGCCCACCTGGTGTTAAGTAGTTACTGGAGGCCATAGACATCTACAAAGTAAATGCGCCACCCACCTTGAGATATAAGTTCTAAGGTCTCAGTATAGTTACAACAGCTTTCCCACGCTTCAAATCGAAACGCATTATTACTTCTCGACAGAAATAGGCGGGGTGGTGGTATCTACCCGTGCTGTAAATATAAATTTGTAGAACACATACCACAAGTACACTTTTTGACCTGAGTGTCATCTTCGTCGTCTTCTACGCTTTGTTCTTCGAGAATCGGAACTTCCAATCCGAAAATGGCATCGAAAAGAAATCGCTGCGTTCTGTTAATTGGGGGTACCTGAAAAATGAATTTATATTTTTACTAAAACTACTTTAAGAGTATTAGGTATATGTACTTTGAACTCATTGTTTACTATTATAAGTGCAAACGAAGCTACAAAATGTAGATTTATAGATTATAATCAACCTTCCTAATACATAGTTCAAATAACCAAAGGACCAAAAAATAATTAAGAGAAATCAAGGAATGATTTCACTTTACTCTCGATTTCAATATAAGTTATAGTTTTTTTTTTCGGTGTCTGTTTAGTATAAAATAGTTACCGGAACCAACCGTACTCACAGCAAATAACGATTGTCTAAACCTTCAAAGCACAACGCATCACTAGTTTGAGGCAGAAACAGACAACATGGTGATACTAACTCATTCCAGTTCACAGGAAACCTTATCACCGGTAACTACGCAAATAAAACTGTTTTGTACTTGATTTTTATTATATGGTGTAATTTCTACAAGCTACCTATACTTGAATACGTGTAATATACGTAGTTCATTAGAAAAATTGGGATCCTACCTACGAGATTTGAACACTAAAATAGTCGCATCGCCTCAATACGAGTATAGCAGCCGTCGCGGCGTCGCGGCGTCATATCCTCTAGGCCACGACACAAGAGTTAAATAGCAGAATAATTATAATACCAAATTAATTAATTATGACGAGTAGCATGTTATTATTAATAATATTTAATTACCGTTGTGTGTCTATAATAGTCTGATCGCATGTTGAAACGAAAGTAGGTGAATGTGCTACATCTACCTGTTTCTTATGTAAGAAAACTTTTATCACGAACTTCAATAATTGCGTAACATGCTAATGCACGTTAAGTAGTTCCGTCGGAAGTTTACCTTATGTAAGTTTTGTTTATAGATTTAGGTAATTCAACAACGCGGTTTGATTAAATTACCTACTTTAAAAACAAATAAAATTCTTTCACGTCGTCAGAGAGACAAGAAGTCAGAAATGAATTTTTCAAAATTTATATTGAATACTAGCTGACCGGGCAGACAACCGGTAGTGCCTTAATCAATAAATCAAAGGAGACATCAAAGGAAAAACAAAATTGTTATTTTTATTTAAATCATTTTTTTATTAAGCATTTTTTCATATTTAGATATCTTTTAAACCTTCTCTGGACTTCCACAAATAATTCAAGACCAAAATTAGTCAAATCGGTCCGGCCATTCTCGAGTTTTAGCGAGACTAACGAACAGCAATTTATTTATATATATATATATATAGATAGATTTCGTACTAATTGATAATGTAAAAAAATTTGTATGTGTAAAAATTTTGTAATAGTAATATATTAAGCGAACAACTTTTCACCAAATATCATTTTTAGCAAACGAATTCGTAAAAGCGCAAAGAAATATTCAAAATTTAAATGTACACCAAAAGCAACGTACACGAACAGCAAAGTCAAACATAAAAAAAACTTTTGTTTGGTGACATAGTGCGGTTCAATTAGTAGTTCTAATCACGTACTGTCGATAAGCCGGGGCAGTGTGAAGGCTGAACTATGGCAGTACTGTAGAGTGAAAAATTAGCTTCATTAGTGCCTGCATTATTAGCGTTAATAAACGGCAGTTCATAAATTACCAGTTTTTGAATATTGAAAAAACAATGTTACTGGAAATTACGGTACTTTGTCATACACACACTCATAAAAGATGAGAGTCCAGGGGCACTCTTACCCCGTATTCTCTGGTTCAGTAATGAACTCCCCTCCACGGTATTTTCGGAGCAATTTGAAAAGTCATTCTTCACAGAAAACTTTAAGGACTACAATGATCGTTATTTTAATGAAAACGAGATTTTAAAGTTGATTCAAGTAACACAAACTTTATATTGTCTATGAGTTCCGATAGTTACTTAATATTAAGTAGCCGCGAACTCCTTTGCCTATTTGCGGAAATAAAAAAAAAGTGTGCAATTCACACGTGGTAGAAGTGAAACCTTCCAAAATTAAAATACAATTATCCTAAACGTCTTAAGTATATGTAAAATTTTGTCATTAGTAAATAATTGTAAGGTAGCGCCCTCTGTGAATTGATATTTTAATTTCACGTATAATCCTAAATTAAAATTCACTACAAGAGCTTTCATACACACGTTAGTATTAAAAAATCTCACAGATGGCGCTGTATTAAATAGTATGTATATTTCTGTCTCATTCTTTGCTGGCTTCATCCTACACATTTTTGTATTTGTGTCTCTTACCTGTCGTTTTTTTCCGTTGCATCCGGTTTGAAATCACAACGATTCTAAAGAAGTTTTCACTTCAAAAAAATCGTTAAACTGATGCTTTTGGACTAACTTTTAACGACTCCTGGCATTGATAAAAAATATTGAATTGTTTCATATGAGCTGCATCGATTTTCCTGGTCGTTTCCTTATCAAGCACGCAATATGCGTCGGCGCTGCAATACGACGCAAGTTGCGCAACAAGTAATTGGGTAGTAATGTCAATGTTGCTTTCACAATGAGACTCGTTCCGCTATCATTACGTTTTTTACGTTCATTTCATGAATCACTTTCTCGTCTCACGAGCGTGGTAACCTTTCTGTTAGATAACCCTAATTACAGGATATTCTGTTCGTTGAGTTTTACTTCCTCAATTTACTATTACGAACAGTATTTTAACTGAGTAACCTATACACATTCGAATCTATACTATTCTAATCGCACTAAACACTTCACTTTCCCCCCTTTGCCTTTTCATGAGTTCTGTCTCATGTGAGGTTTGGACGTTGGTTGTTGAGCGACAGGAGGTTTTAGTCGGTTCGACTCCGACATGCTCCGCCCGCCGTCCCCAGTGGAGGGCGGAAGTCCGGCGTTTTCCTCCTGACAAAAAAAAAAAAAAAAGAAGAGACCCGAGCAGAGCCGGAGCGGGCCGCTTGTAAATAAAATAAAATTAGCGTTCAACTTTCAAAAGACAACATTCTAATAGCAATAAAAATACGGTGTTTCCGAAATTGCGATAACACTTGGGACGCTAGACAAAATCGTGAAGCGTATTCGTAACAATCGTGCGCTTTCTCCGCGCGAATGTTACACGTGATCCGTGACGTAACTAGTGTTTTTGGTCACCGATGTGTTAGCTAACAATCGAACGGTTATGAACTTGTGACATAATGGGCTTATTGAGGCTAAGGTTGTCGTTTATGGACAATGAGGTTAGCACAATGTGGAGTATATCCTACGCGCTGCGCAATAGATTTAACGAGCTTATTTTACGTAATTGGAAATGAATCGTCTCGTTCGAGTTCTCTATTATCTGTTTTAAATAAGGATGTTTTTCATTAAACGATCACTATTTAACCATTCAAATTACTATCAGAGATAATATTCGCATTACGAGTACCTAAGTATACGTGATTTTGACCGATTAACTTTGAATACTTAGTTAAGTTTTTAATGCGTTTTATGCAGATGTAAGTAGAGAAGGCCATTGGGAAAAACCATTCTCATCAACGCAGCTAAACTTATGGTACGAATGAATATTACGTCAGGGTACTTTATGTTGAATTTACAAACTTATTCATCGAGCTAATACACTAACATACAGGAACAATCGTTTAAAGATTAGGTTTTCCACCACGTAATGGGTTGTGATTTGTCAAGAGTTAAAGCGCCTATTAAAAAGAAATCGTTTTACCAATAATTAGTGTCAAGGCGACAAAACATAATAGAAATAGTTAAAACCTAGATATCACGAACACATTCGGACCTGAAAGATTGCTCCGTGACCCTGATAGTAAGCAATTGGTTTCACAAACGGCCCTGGCTGCGATATCGTCTGAAGTTCAATGTCGCAAAACAATAGACGCTATGAGAAAAATATAAATTTTGTATTTAATCAGTACAAACGTAATAATAATCATGCAATTCATGCAATAAATTCGATTTTTCTCCATGCATATTTTTAATGATTTTATTGTTTTTATTTCTTTTCCCTTTCGCAGGAAGACAGCCCAGCGGCTTACTTGATAAAATCAGCGCCGCCCATTAACGTCAGCAATATCAGGGCCAATGCGACTACAGTTCACCAGATATTATCCTTACACACAACAAACAAACACAGGTATGTAGCCCCGATCTCTCTCATTCGTCTCATATCATAAGTTAGTCCAACTCGAGTTAACGAAAATATGGCTGTTAACACTTTGCACTGACATGCATAACATGATCTAGGAGATTCTTTATAGAACGAAGAACTACTCCAGTGTCGAATGGTAACGGAGATAAAAACAGATGTATAAATTATTTAGTCTATTTTTTATTACTATTTACTTTTATAGTCCTTTAAACTTATTAAGTTCTAATTGAAGTTCTTGTAGGACACTTAAATAAAGGCGGTTCTAAATAAAATAATAAAATGTTTATTTTATGTAAAAATGTACAATCGGTTTTTATTAGGGCGGGGATCATAGCCTCCTGGATTTTTTTAGCCGCGCGTGCGCGTGACGGAACCAAAGGTTTCGCCACATTCTTAATTCAAGTATCATTAATCCCATGTAGCTACATCAAGTTCTTTACTACTTTTATGTAGATTGTGTCATTTTCAAGAATGATTTTTTGAACTCACTCCCTTTAGTAAATGTGGAAATATGTATAGGTACGACGTGGACGTGGAAGCTTTTGCCATTAAGTAAATTTGAGATAGACACGATATTGAACGTATTGAAATCAATGAATTTGTATGTGTTATAATAGTTTTAGAATAATGTTTAATTTTGTCGCTACGTACGACGTACATACGTATAATGCATTTTTTTAAAAGTAATACTTGCGCAAACAAGAACGACATTACGAAGAAATGACAAGAAATGTTTCACGCTTGACTGCGTTTATTTTCACCGCATTCGATTTTATTGTTATATCTCAGAATTGGTAAGGTCAACAAATAAACCGCTTTCCAAAGTAAATATTATGGACAGGGGCCTTTCACGATGATATTGTGCTCTCATTTTGTTATGCATTGTCGTTTAGCAAAAGCGTCAATTGCCACACAGCCGATGTAGCTACTTCACTAAAATAAAAAGAAGCTATAAAGTGAAATTTTTTCGGTAGCGATTTAAAAAGAAAACAAAATTTTCTTTCAGTCCCTTACTCACGAATATTATATTAGTCATCAACAAAACGTGATTTTGTTGATCGAAGTTGATGTGATATTATGAAACTAAAATGCAGGGTTTATATTTCTATTGTTCCTTATACCGCACCTATGAAAATTAGCAGGACTTAAAACAAATCGAGGCAATCCTTAATAAGTACTGCAATGCAGAAACGGAACGTTCAAAGAAAGTAAAAGCGCACGTACAAAGTCAATGCACTTGAACATTCATGCATGCAGTGGGCGATACCTGAACATCTAGAAAAAATATATATTTAAAAAACTATACTCACATAATTGTCAAGAGCAGCGTCCTGTGAATTTATCTGCCTGGCGTCGATTGTTAAAATGAAAAATACGTTTATTATCACTAATTTCCATTGGCACATTGTCGTGGGGTCGAAAGCGCGATGTTGTTATTCGTGCGCCACTATTTATTTGCGCGACATCTCCGCAGACAGAACGTTCACTGGCGAATTCAGGCTGAGCAATTCAATGGCATTATTTCGCAAACCGCCCATGAAATGCGGGCCGAGTGTCGGCCGCGGCCGCACGGAGTCTACCGAGTGTCGCTGACGTTGGTATTTTCGACCACCACCAATTTTACTTTCTCTTCAAGCAAAACTCACTTGGTAAGCACTTAAAGAAGCGCCCCACCAATGACGTTGAGGGTGAGCCGAAATACTGAAACTATGTACCTACCTACAGAAACTTAATTTCAATTCCTGTTCCAAAAACACTTATGTAATTCCTAAAATCTATATTACCTAGTACCTACTAGATCACCTATAGCTTTTATTTTCAGCGTTTAATATGATCAGCAAATAACCTGAACCTTCTGATCTAAAGAAAGCTTTACTGAACCATAACTTAGGTGGGTGGTTTCATATATTGAGACCATATTATTATCAATCAGAAATTGCACGGCATCCTATTAAATACGACAACTTTTCAATAAAACGATCTTACGACAAATTATTTTCCAGGAAATTACCCATTAAGTTCGAATATATGAAACATAAAAAAAATATTGTAAGCTGCATAAAATTTAAACGATCTTATTGGGTGATTGCCAATCATTCTTCAAAGCTTTATCGCGACTTTAGTAAATCACTAGGACACCAAGTATCAAGTTAATAATTTACGAAATAAATAAGCTTTTAAGTACTGGTGGTAGGACCTCTTGTGAGGCCGCACGGGTAGGTACCACCACCGTGCCTATTTCTGCCGTGAAGCAGTAATGCGTTTCGGTTCGAAGGGTAGGGCAGTCGTTGTACCTAATTGAGACTTTAGAACTTATATCTCAAGGTGGGTGACGCATTTATGTTATATATATTACGAAATGTCTATGAGCTCCAGTAACCACTTAACACCAGGTGCCCTGTGAGCTCGTCCACCCATCTAAGCTATATAAATTTTTTTTTATATTAGATAAGAATATGTACCCATTTAAAGATTCATTAACCTAAATGTTGGTGTTAAATTTATGATTCTCAATACCTATATTAAAACGTAAATCATTAATCTACATTTACATCTTACTCAGCGTTGGTTAGGTAGATTCCTACAAACGAAAGTGAAATCGCGGCCGTCGATTCTTCCGCTATCCGCACAATTAGGTACATTCTCCGATCTAAGATCACGTAATCTTTGAAAATATGTATTATTATTCCTAACTGCAATATTTTTTTTATCGTCATTATGTAAATAGTTATTAAGAAAAAAAAACGTCGGATCACCTTTATTCCTTTCAAACAAATAACGAATAGGTAGGTAAGTACCCAAATATCATTTATGCTATCATAATTTATGGTCAACACTTTTCATTTTATTCATTGGTGTACGTCCATCACGAATCATCACGTTTTTTAAATCATCTACCTTAAAACAAGCGTCGAAGTCGAACGATTGCTTCCTGGCAAAAATTGATAGGATTGCAATATCCACCCGAGCGGAATCACAGTGCGTTATATGTACACTAATAAGTGTGCTTTTAAGCATTCCAAGCACCCATCACCGTTCTTTTCGAACCCGTCGAATGCGACGACGGTTCGTCATGAAAATTAACCCACAGACATAGCCCATTGAGTATTTCGCTCTCAGTGGGTTGCGAATCCAATGCGGTGGCAGATCACCGAAGCACTGGTCTTGCTAGGGTATATGTTAACAAAGTCTACCAGGTTGAGCCCAATGAGCTTGCCTACATGTTCGGTGAATCTAGGATAACCCCTCGGAATTTCCTTGCAATAATTAGGCAAAAAAACCCGGCACCGTCGCTTTAGTCTATACAAGCACAGCTTAGTACCCATTAGGCCACAGCGACCGTGTTACTAAAAAACTATAAATATATAGACTAAGAATACCTATAGACTTTTGTAAATTGCCTTTTTTAGGCCAGGGGCCCGAAACTGGTCTCAGCGGCTGAGTGTCCCGGCCTGGGCAAGGCTTGGCGAAAGATGCTAAAGGCCCACCTAACAAACAACTCCCCTGTACTCTTTCGCCGGACGCTCGACCAGAAACTCCGGAAAGACTGGAACAATTACCTTGGTCAATGTTATAATCAGACTCGCCCCAGGAGGCGCTGACAGCGTGGCCATTTTGGTGATTCTTAATTAGCTTTCAAGTTTTTTTTAGTAAATTAATATTTTACTGTGAGAGGTGATTTTCCACATTTCATGTACGGAGGGTAAGAATAATTAATGCTGGTCTATGGGTAATTTCGACCAACAAACACACTATCTCCTCAACTATGAATAATTTAAAAACAGATTATTAGGTATATCTTGACATCGCCCTACATCTGTGCTACGATCTTAGATTAATATCGATACACTGAGATATGCAATTGTTTATTCGCTCTAACATAATATACCTAATGTTATGGCTACTAAAATAAGAGAAACCCCTATTTAAACCATAATCTGACATTCCTACTATTAATTGTTGTATTATAATACAATAATATTATAATAATCGTTCTCCGATGTTCTAGAATTATCTATTTATTTGACAAATTACATAGATAGTGCCAGTCAGGTTTACCGATAATTATAAAAAATATTTTCCCACCATACTTTTCACAGTTCCATAATCTAATCTGGAAGAAGCCGTTAACTGACTACTTAATATATAGTAATCTGTAGTATTGAATACAGAAATACGCCAAAAAGAGCATCCAATAGTAGACCCAGAGATCCCAGGCTATATTCAACCTTTTTTTATTGCCCTTGTAGGCAGACGTTCATACAGCACACCTGATGGTGAGTGGTTACCGTTGCTCAGGGACGTCAGCAATGCCAGGGGCAGAGCCCAGCCGCTACCTACCGCAAAACTATTATAAAACAAAATTAGATAACCACTAGCTAACCCGGCAAACGTTTTGCCATATGATTTCTAGGGAATTTCTATTGTAGAAAAAAAACTAACTTATTGTAAGTGTGTAAGGATGAAAGAGGCATGTAGAGCTGTGAACGATGAGGGAACATAAAAATAACAAAACCTCATTCAACCACATAATGCATCATTTTTAAAACAAAAAAAACTGTCCAAAAAATAAAAAAATTATGTTAGTGGTGGACAACCCTTATCACTTAGGGGTGTGAAAAATAGATAGTAGCCGATTTTCAGACCTACTGAACATGCATATAAAATCCTATAAAAATCGGTCAAACCATTTCAAAAGAGTATGGTACTTAACTAACATTGTGACACGTGAATTTTATATATAAGATTCTAAATCAAGAACAAAATATAATTGAAGATATAAACTATTCCATCACACAAAAACACTGAACACGCTCCTATCACTCTTGTAGTTAGCTCATCTTACATTTTCTATCAGAAATTTGAACTGTATGGCATAGCATACGTAATTATCGAATAAAATTAAATATTACTATCATGATTTCAAGCGCTAATGCTTGCAGTACCTGGTTTTTTTCCTAAAGTCAGTCCCCTCCGTGCGTCGTGTTTTTCAGTGCTGAGGGTCGTGACCTTTACGGAGTACTTTTGTTAGGACGTTCCTCCATTCCTTCCTGTCCTCTGCGCAGTAGATTGCGCGACAGATAGAGCGACATTGATGCTGGAGTCCAATGTAGTCTTAATCTGATCGGACCAGCGCATGGGACTACGCCCCCTAGGCCTCTTTCCTAACACTTGCCGGTGATTAGGCTTTCAAGATTGTCACACTTTTTCTTCGCAACGTGATCGAAATTCTCGAAATAGATACCTATCAATACCTACCTACGTAAGACAAAGACAAGGATCTTTGGAAGTTCACACGTGAAGCTATGCAGTTTCATCCGTTAATTTTTTTCAGATACAATACAGAATATCTTTATATCTTAAACTCTACAGTTATACCTATTTCACACCATGACTGTAGGTCCCACTGAGAGTGAGAAAGATTACTGATTAGCCCGCGCATTGCGCAAGCGTAGATACCTACTATTAAGTGAATGAGGTCGATTATAGTAACAAGTCATATAAATCGTACAGCTACTTTTATAGTGTAATTTTGAATGTAATCATATTAATATATATCTTTTAACGTCTTTGTTTAGATTTTTTCATAACGGTTTTCTTGTAGCAAAGAAACTTGTTTGCAATAAAATTATTGTTTTCTTTATTATTCGAATATGTATTCATGTTAAGGAATTAATTGATTACCTACTGTGATTTTTAAATAAATACGAACGAGGACTTGAAATAAAGAAGACCAATACCTGTGTAAATAAACTAGTGTAATTATTGTAAGTTTCTATAAAACTATGTTCCTCCAAAATATCACATATGTTTATTAGACGTAAGTATCAAAAATGGTACCTATTTAAACTTTTGCTGACAGTCCTAAGTCTGTCAAGTATCAAATCAGAACATTTACATTTTAGAGAGTAAATATCACTATATTAACTCATCACGTCTGCAATTTTCACTATTAATTCACTATAAGATAAAGAGTTAAATATATAAAAGAAATATCTTTGTATCCAAAATATATATTAACTCTTCTCTTCTTGGTGAGTGATTTGGCCTATGACTAGTCAGTCACAACCTCAAACAGCTGCCGATTACTGGGAAGATCAATGGCCGCAGCAGCCCAATCATGCGAAATTGGTCAAATTCTCAACACCAATCCGCATTTTGCTCTCCATGACGCCAAAGAGCGACACAGACGGAAAGAATCATCCAAAATATTGTATAGGATCCCTTACATTCCACAATTATATTAGTGAGAATATTCATTTTTTCATTTATGTACTATAAACTCATTAAACCAGGTAAGGCCAGTAATAAAAGGTGTTACGGTATAGACTGGTTATAGTTGAGCCTGATCGCGTCCTATTCGTACCGATCCGGCACGATTACCTACCTATACGCGCAAACCATCGGTTAACCTTACAGCAATTTGCGAGGTTATGAGCAATCTGCGATCAATACTGAATTGATCATCCAGAGAAAGCAAACTCTAGGACTAAAAATTAAAGGATATATTACTTCAAAATCTTTATTAAAAAAAAATATGTACATGTCACAAAGCAACACTTACCTGTCGCAAAAACAAACTTCACATAGGATAAAGAGTGGTCGTCCTCCAACATTGCCATGAAAACAAAATAGAAATATTAGAAAATGTGATATTGTCAATTCAAAGTTCAATTTAATTCCAATAAAACTTCTAAATGTTTTAGTGAACTCTGTGTAATTTAAATTCTGCTGGGTACATTATTTTATTGTTGACTATGATATCCAATGTCGCGCCCATAAATTTCTCTTGAAGTCTAAATAGTAGTTACGCCAGTCACTAAAAACGGACCTACTTTTGAGACTAATTATTTACAGGTGGATGTAAACTACAATTCAAATTTGGTAAACACATTTCCATAGCTGTGTAACATTTTGCTAGTATAAAAACACTATTTGGCAATAGGTACTCTCTTCTATCGCCATAAATGAAAAATAATACTTTCACGATCAAGCGCATATTAATGATTAAGAATGCAGGGATAAAAACAAAATTTCAAATATTGTGTTACTACTTTTTTTTGTAATCAGAAGTGAGCACATCCGATTTCCCAGAAATCTTGTTTAATTCTTGATTGCTGTTGAGTAAAGACGATAATATCACAGCTTTAAATGTTTAGGAAAATAAATAAAAAAGGACTATATACAGATCTAAAGAAACACTCCTACATTTATTTTTATTATAGTTTATTATTTTATTTTACATTATCCTACAAGTCCATTAATTGTATGCCTAGACGTTGATTTAACAGCTATTTTTGAGAACTTAATACTGAATAAGATAGGAATTTCAAATTATCATGATTCAAATCTATCTGAAATATCAACAAAACTGATCTATTTCACCTAGTGTATATTGAGGAATTCTTACATATTATCCTAACTTGTACTTATTTCGGGATAAAACTTCCATTATAGTCCATTAATTGGGAAGCATTGTTTTTTTTTGTAGATCGTACTCATTGATAAAAAGCTTGCAAATATTCAAGATGCAAAACAAATTATCTGACATGGTAGAAGTCAAGATTGATATTTCACGTTCCGCTTACTTAAAAGGTAATTTATTAAATTTTATGTAACTTTTTTACTTAATTATAATTATATTTTCACATATTCACATATTAAATTTGGAGTGTAATTATTGTGCACAATAATTATTGCTGTATTACACAATTACACAACTTTTTTACAAAAAAAATAACAAGTTTTGTTTACACTATGAAGCGGAACGTGGGGAACGTGAAGTGACACCTTTGTTTACAGTCTTTTGGTCTGCTAACCGTCAATGTCGGCTATAGTCTGTTTGCCCTTGTTAGTAGCCTTATAACATTAAAGCCCTATGCTTTTGTCTTAAGAGTGGTGTGCAAGCGTTAGTCAGATGAACCGCTTGTCAGTCTCTTCTTCTGTGCATTCTTCAGGTAGTGTGTGAGTGATGGGACTCTATAGGGCCGCTTGTACCTGCTGCGCGAGTGTAATTGTTGGACTCAAATGAGCCACTTGTGTTCCCGTGGATAGTCTGTCCTCGATGAACCGGTTAAGGTTCCAGTTGGATGGCTGATCTCAGAATAGCAGCTGGGCTCTAGTGGTAGTTTACCAGCTATCACTAGTTTTTCTGAGGATGAGGATATTGCTCCTGTGATGCCATTATCAAAAGAATCTGGGCAAGTTTAGATAAATTGCCAAACGGAACAAGTTTCTCGGGCTATTCGAAGAGCCTGGTGTGAATACGCACGGTTGCCCTCACGTGAATATTACAAAATTATGTATGCTTTTAGTAAGGGACAAATTTATCATCAAACAAGCAAAGAATTAGCATATATTATGATGACTCTGATAGTTTCAATGAGAACAGTAGCAGATTGGTTCAGTTATAGCCGGGAGACAATCGCCATATACGAGTCGGAAGTTCGTAGACGTCAAGGAAAGATAGGGGTCTCTAATAAATTGGTGCAAATTGACGAATCAGTTGTAAAAAATATATAACCGTAGTAGCCAAAGAGGGTAATTAGAATAATAGAACGGCAGTGACGATCTGCGGATGGAGATGTGTCCTGGTATGAAACTTTTGCGTACATATTGGAGCCATTAATCAAAAAATATGTTGATGAAGGCCCCATTACTCACAAATTATTGGAGAGCGTATTGTCTTGGCTTTCTTGGCATGGATAAAACATGAAGGAGTAAAATCAGTGTGACCCAACAAATAAATTAGTATTTCGATAACAACAAAATAAACAATTTAACACTGGTTGTGTGAGTCTTCATTGAGTGTAGGTAAACCATTTGGATGCCTATGAAGAATTGTTAAATACAATAAAATCTCTTTATAAATTTGATTAAATATAACAATATTAAAATTCCTTGTTTTATTCTCCAAAATAAACAATTTCACAGAATGGTAGTACAAGTATTCATGAAGGCATGAGATAATGGTGAACCATTTGGATGCCTGTGAAGAATTATTAAATGCAATAAAATCTATTTATAAATTGGATTAAATATAACAATACAAAAAACTCTCGTGTTTTATTCTCACTACATGAATATCCAAAAATTACCCAAAACTGAATCAGAGCATCCAACTTTCCACATGGTCTTGTCTGCCCTACTCCTAATGTATATATAAAAACCGGAGGCGCGGAGTGAGAGCGGCCCTCGCCCAGTGTGACAGAGTGTGGGTACCATACGAGGTAGAGCAGATGAGGCTGGATGCTGAATGCGACCAACCAGCCGAAACTTCAGAGCTGGTCATGAGTTGACCGTGCTTCAGCACCCAAAGGCGGAAGGGCTGCTCTTCCCGCAGCGCCGGAGATAATTCAGAACCAAACAAGATGAGGAGAAAGAAGGTCCCCACTTTCAGTAAATAATGCTATTCTAACCAAAGAGCATTAACCAAGGATATCTCCATGGAGTTGCACAAGGCAATAATGATACAGAGGGGTAGCCCCATTCCCCTCCCCTTCCCCACCCCATAAATCGATGGACCATAATGGAAATTTTAACCTTATTTCCTAATAAAATTAATTAATTTTACATGGCTAATTCCTTAAAATTATGTCACGATAAGTACCTCAGTACCTACTACATTAAATACACAGAAGACCTTACAATTCAGTTCACATAAATATTGAAATTCTTCTAAATATGAGCTAAGGGCTCATCTAATGTCTAACAATCCTGAGGGCTTCTAGCTGGTCTCGCGTGTGGACCATGATGAGTGTATCTAGTGCTCCGGAGCGTACTGCCTACACTAGCACGGTTAACTCTGCTTTACTAGTGTACTTAGCACGAAACCTAGAGATTGAAAAAATGTTGTAAGTTACATGGAATAATACACTAACAGATCGAACTACCTGCATAGCATTAATTATTGTAACTAACAACTAAACGCCGAATCTACAGCCTGGAACTTTCCTATACTCAATTAATGCTATGTAGTGCTCTAAAAACAGACAATCAAGAGAAATATAACTATAGGCTAATTGGGTTGTGTTTAAATTAATAAGTATATGAATGTGTGTATTGTCTGATAATTAATTTAAACTCATACTCACATAACGATTAGAATCGACCTCCTCTGCCCTGACCACCTCCATAGTTACCACCGCCATAGCCGCCGCCACCACCACCACCGCCACCCTGGTTCATATTGTATGGAGTAGACCTATTATTCCCATATGCTTGATTTCTAGTTGGACCCCCGCTATAACTCTGCTGATTATAATTGCCAAAGTCTTGATTTCCCCAACCCCCTCTTCCATTACCCCCTCCTCCATAACCTCCACCACCTCCTTGATTTCCCCAACCCCCCTGATTGCTTTCCCATGGGTTCGAATTTCCTCCCCATCCACCCTGGTTGTTGCCATATCCTCCTAGAAAATAATTATCACTTAAGTTTTTTTTTAAGAAAAAGCAAATTGAAATGAATACATAATTCATCTAGATCAATACACATCATTGATTATTAAATTACAAACCTGAACTGCCCCAGCTATCATTTCTGCCAGAGCCACCACCCTGTCGGCCTCCACCGCCACCCCCACCCCTCTGATCGGACCCATCTTTAGGAAGTGCTTTCTTTACATCCAATGGTTTTCCATTTATTTTGTGGGGGCCATTTACTACAAATAAATAAACAAATTAGCAATCTTTTGAATGCAAATAAAATAAATTGACTTACTACAAATATAATTTATAATTTTAAATGTTCAATGATTTGCGTACCAGGTCATCCACTAAATCAATGATCAGGTATAGCTTTAATCATTGGATTAATCTCCACAGTTAGAGAAGCCAGATCAGGTCACATTGTTCCTTCCTGGGGCAAAACTGTGGGATTTCAGTATTTAATATAACTTAGAAAAAACTTACAGCAAACTTTGTCAACTGGGTCGTAGTCATCAAATTCAACAAAACCAAATCCCCTCTTCTTTCCAGTATTTTTATCTGTGACGATGCTAACGTTCTGTACGTTGCCATAGTTCGAAAAATACTGTCTTAGTTCTTCCTCTTCATGATCATCTTTTATACCCCCAATGAACAGCTTCTTAACAGTTGCACCAGCTTCAGGATTCTTGATATCTTGCCTTGCAACAGCACGTTTGGTTTCAACGAATCTAAATTATAAAACACACGTTTTCAATATTAATGTGTGCTATAAGAGAATCTTAATATGTTACTACTAGTACAACTTTAAACTGTTGTCTCCACAGAAAATGCCACATGTACGGACAATGTGACATTCACCAAGCAGAGTCATTGATGTATGCAGCTAAAAACGATGTAAAGGCGATAAATAGCCTTCACATAGCTGGGCTGCAACTTTTTGTCTTTTTGCTTCTGCTTCTACTGCAGAGCACGCTAAGGGGTTTACCGTAATCTTAATACAATAAAAATCATGTGCAGAAAATTCAACAAAATGGTAATTTTCAACTGTCTTTTGACTAGAAGTACCTTATTTGGAATGTTAAAATTGACATAAATACATGACAAAATACTTGAAAACTAACCGGCCATCAATTTTATGCGGTCTGTTGTTCTGGGCGTCGTCAACCATGTGCGCCTTGGAATAAGTAATGAATCCAAAGCCACGAGAACGTTTAGTTTTCGGATCCTTCATGACGACGACATCGACAATTTCTCCCCATTTTTCAAAATGTGTTTTTAAAGACTCGTCAGTAGTTTTGTAATTAAGACCGCCAATGAAGATTTTACGGTGAACCTCCGGCTCTTCCTGGAAGTAGGACAAAGTTTCAACAAAATGGCGGCCAGCGTGGCATAGTTGGTATGATATGAATCATACTTTTTGAATCTATACCAGGCCATCATTGATTAGAAATGACGATATTTGACAAATTATTTGGTTACAATGAACACATATAATTTCAATTTTTAAAAAGAACGTGAAAATTTACTTACATATCCGTCGTCACCATTTTGTGGCCTCATGTTTGAATAAATGCTATGCGTCTAGTTGTTATTTATACTTTAAGATGCCGAAGAGCCCAAATTTAATAGAAAATCACAATGTTTGCCTACAGCTTAAAATAAAAAATCCCAGCTGAAACGACTATTCTCCACCAACGCCACGAGGTAAAGAATTAGATATTGAATTCATAGAAAAGTCAATAAACTTTCTGTGTTGCCTGAGCAAATAATTTTTTACCCTCTTCTCTGTACGTGAGGCATCTCTCTAGGTACCTGAGGCTCACAATATAATCACATAGACCTAATATTATTGTAAAGTACAATAAAACAACCCCTTTTCAAAAGTTTTTTTGGCCAAAAGGAAATTATTCTTTTTATAAAACAAGAACAAAAATGTTATTCTATGAATCAGTTTTCATCGAGCTTAAACTTAGTTACACTGTTGTAATAATATTTTATAGAGAGGAAGTTCATTAAAGTTAATTTTTTTCTAAATGGATTTTGTTCCTCAAAACAAAGCTAAAGCAACATTTTTGTCAGCCTTTGTTCCTACATAATCTGAATTAAACTTAATTTCAGATTACAAATTATAATTAAAAATTATTTTGAACTCGAAAACGCTTTTGCTTAGTAAGTCGAACTATAAATATAAATAACTTTTTTTTGTTATTGTGGTCAAAATCTTAGTTTAAAGTAAAAAAATATTATATTTTGATGAATGAGCGATTGCCATAAACTTGATATATGGTGTAATAGATAATGCCAACATGCGCGTAAACATTCGTACAATGTACGAATATTTGCCCGCATGTGAGTGGCCGGCATTACACTTACAGGTTTGCGTATTCGTGCGCATGTGAGTGACCGGTGCTACACCGGTCGCTCGCTGTGTCGGTTTTTTAACAGACATCAAAGCGTGCGAACCGCGAGCCTTCGCGTAGTCTCCCACACATTCGTTTGCCCAGTTGCGCCGGCGATTGCGAAGGTAACGGACGTATCGCCATTTTCATAGTTCGTGACGTCTACTGTGTAGCGTAACTTCATCAAAAGAAATCCCATAAAAACAGCATGGCTGTTAATGATGTCTGGGAAAGAATTCAAAACTCTTTTTGTCTTCAATGTTCTATTGACGAATTAAAAAGGAGGAGAAATTCGTGAGACATTCGTAAACAAGTGTAGGAGGAAGCGCAAACGGGTTCGCAAATTGAGTATGCGAACCCATTTGCACAGCCGCTAGGTTTGCGAATGAATGTTTGACGGCCCTTCACATGCGCGCAAACATTCGTACAATGTACGAATATTTGCGCGCATTTCAGTGGCCGACATTAAAAAACCGACACAGCTTGGAAAACCACGAATGCAGCGAAAACTTTGCATAATCAGTTGCAAATGTCGTCCTACACTTGCTGGTTTGCGTATTCGTGCGTATGTGAGTGACCGGTGTAAGACGACATTTGCAAATGATTATGAAAAGTTTTCGCTGCATTCGTGGTTTTCCAAGCTGTGTCGGTTTTTTAACAGACATCAAAGCGCGCGAACCTAGAACCTTCGCGTAGTCTCTCACACATTCGCTTGCCCAGTTGCGCCGACGATTGCGAAGGTAACGGACGTATCGCCATTTTCATAGTTCGTGACGTCTACTGTGTAGCGTATCTTCATCAAAAGAAATCCCATAAAAACAGCATAGCTGTTAATGATGTCTGGGAAAGAATTCAAAACTCTTTTTCTCTTCAATGTTTTATTGACGAATTAAAAAGGAGGAGAAATTCGTGAGACATTCCTAAACAAGTGTAGGAGGAAGCACAAACGGGTTCGCAAATTGAGTATCCGAACCCATTTGCACAGCTGGTATGTTTGCGAATGAATGTTTGAAGGCTCTTCACATGCGCGCAAACATTCGTACAATGTACGAATATTTGCCCGCATGTGAGTGGCCGACATTACGGATCCTTCCAATCCAATAGCGTTATTATTGGACGCCTGCAGCTCTAGCTCTAGGAGTCTGTTTAGGGACCCTAGTAGCCGTACTCGTCGAACTCGGTAAAGCGTTCGACCTAACCCATACTTCAGCCCGCTGAGTTTCTCGCTGGATCTTAGTGAGTCGCGTTTTCGATCCAGTGGTATATTCTGCGAAGTTCGGCTCTTGGTAGGGTTCGTGTTAGCAACGTCGTCAGGTTTGAGCCCCGTGAGCTAACCTACTAGTTAAGGTTATGCTGAAATAGCCTCTCAAGGCTCTCAGCCTAGGTAGAAAAAAAAAAACTACTGAAATATTATAGAATTGAAACTATTTTTCTAGGGAAAGTATTTTGTTTTTGAAAATATTTCTTATTTGTGGCCCTGCAGCTTTTCTAGTAAATGTAATTATCTCGCAAAGGTATAATTGGGCAGTCCCGCTTTATACTATGTCATGAAGCATTAAAAGTAACGATACTAGAGTATCGATTATTGATTGTTTTTGTAATGAATATATACGGATTTTTCGTTATTTTTATATTTCTATTACCAAATGGATTAGACACGTTCTGACTTTTGGCGGGAACGCGAGGAGTGAAGTGTGATTTGTTTTATTTTGACTAATTAGTGTTTCTTCATGTTTAAATGTGTAATAACAGTGGTTTATTAACGTTTAGTATTTATGAAAGTGCAAACATGTAGGAAAATGAAACAAAGCCGCTGAATGTAACTTCTCGGGTCCGCCAAAATCTCCACTGAAAAATGACTACCATTTCACAGAGATTATATTTTATCCCATTTCATCTCATCTTATTTCACATTATTTCATTTCATAATAATATAATTTTACTTACAAAAATATATACCGGTAAAACGGGGTGATTAGGGACAAATTCCAACTTGATGAACAATTTGGTAGTTGTTGATGTTTAAAATGGCTTCTATTACTGTTTTAATATTAATGGATCATATCTCTTATAAGGATTTGCACTCTTTGATACGTACACGCGAGGCATATCTAAAAATAGAAAACAACGCGTAACTGATAATATACATATTTGCCAAACAATAAAATAACACTGCATTGATAATTTTGAATAAAAGTTGTAGGCAAAAACATCATGATTAAACCAGATTCTTAGCAACAAATTTAAATGTTATAACTACACAGACAATAGAAACCTGTGCCTATTTATACTTAGATCGTTTCGAAAATCAATAACAACTGAGACTTACCTTTATTATATATGATGGTTCAAACACTAAATTACGTTTATAAATCACAGTCGTCTTCTATTATTATCAGATAAATAAAAGAGAGCAAAGTTTCTAACACTAAAATAATTACCACCACAAGAAGTTAATTTGAAATGCGCCTTTTTATAAGTTAGCAGCTGTTATCATGCATATTCAGAGTTGTTTTGTGAACTTTCAACGTTCTACTATTACACTACAAAAAATAGAAGATTTTGCAACGCTTAAATGATTAATATTGAGCGTCGAAAGATTTTCCTGGTTTTTTCCCCATTCACCACCCAATCCCTAATCGCCCCATTTTACGGTACATAAAAGATTAGACTGTATGGTATGATATTTTTGCCTTTCTAGTTGGAAAAATAAAACTACTACTACTACTTGACACATGCTCTGTCTGACATTTGCTACGGTGACGTGAACGTGCGTGAACGCTGCTTGCATCGGCAACTTGGAAAGTAGAGGTGATTAACAAAAGGAAGCTCACGGAATATTTAACACTGCAGAAACAAAGACTTAGCAAATTAAACTGAAATCCAATTCTTAATTGATTATTAACATCTTAGGACTTCAAGTCTAGTAAATATTAAATATGAAGCCTTCGGAAAGCGGCGATGACTATGTAAGTATGCACGTTTGGGTAAAATGTCAGTTATTTTCTGTCACGGTGGTCGAATCCGATTAAAACCAAGTGATTATGATTTTATTGTCAAAGTACTTCTATATTTTTTATCAGTTTAGAAATATGGTAGAAATCGCATCTAAACTTTACAAGTTTAATGAGTGAATTCATTGCCTAACAACATATATTTTAAAATAATCACGCCATTTCTGGTTATAATTTCAAACAATTGAAATATTTAGCTTTTAATAGTTTAATAGTATACAAATTTAGTGGAATACAAAAGTGAAACTCGAACCAGCAAAACAATAATAAATGTATTTAAATACATTTGTTCACTTTCATTAAATACCATCATGAAACTACCAAAGATAAATAGGTATGGTCGAAAACGGTGATTGCATTTCACTATTAAGGTGGGTGTTAAAACATTTTGAAATATTTATCCGTACAATATATTCGCACTTTGAATAAGCTTTTGCTGTTTCTTTTTTAAAATAAAAGCTTTTTAAGGAACAAAAATATATTATTCAAAGTATTGCCCATAGCTAGCGACATTTCTCCCATCATTCTGGAAGTATATGAATTCCACATCGAAAAATCGCCATTGAACGTAATAGGTGAAAATCAGAAGGAGCGATGTCAGATGAATACGGCGGGTGAGGTAGAACTTCCGATTGAAGTGTTTCCAGATAGGATTTCACAGGTTTTGCAACATGAGACAGAGCATTGTAGCATAATCATTTTGTTGTGTCTCTACTCATATAGCGGCTAAAACTTTTAAATGTTTTGAAACAGTTGGCTCATTGACTTGTAATGTTTTTCCAAATTCTGCTAGCGTCTCACATTGATCTTGATCGAGTAATCGAAAGCGAATCGGAGTGTCGAAACCAGTCTGCATGGTACCATAAGTCTCAACAAGAATTCTATGTGCTTCAGCTGCAGATTTTTTTTGAATAAAGTAGTACAATAAAATTCCCCACAAATACACTTTATTTGGCACAAAAGTAGACATTTTCAGAACTGTGAAAAATTTATTTGTTTACACTGAAGTCCCACATCATACACTGAAATTTAAGGTTAGATACACTACTACCTTGCATGTGTATTCGATTTTCGAAAATTCGTAATTTCACAAACGGGGTACTGCAACTGCCATCTTTGAAAAAAAGGTCCTAATTTTATAATAAACATTGAAATGTATCACTAAAGAAGATGAAACCAATTAGGAAATATCTAAATGCAATAGATGTACTATTTAGTTTAATGAGTCAATGAAGTTAAAATGTGTTTATAATTTGTATAATTAAAATATAGAAATTACTTGACAAGTCTACATAATGTTTAAATGGCGAAAGACTACATATTAAATAAGAAAGAATTAAATATAACTTAAATGTTACAAGTACAGTAAAAGTATATAAGGAATAAAGTGTAAATAACAAGATTAAATTAAAGGTAAACAGGGGCCACCAGGGCAACAGTAACAATAATTTTTTGACTCAGGTTTAGGATATAAAAATACAATTAAAATTTAAGGACATTTTTGGTCAATATATCACAATGTTTCAAAAAACTTTTTCTGCAATTGAAGGAAGAACCTGAACACACACGTAAACTTTTTATCGGTGGACTCGACTACAGAACCACAGATTCTTCATTAAAAGAATTCTATGAGCAATGGGGAGAAATAGTAGATGTAGTTGTAATGAAAGACCCAAAAACCAAGAGATCAAAAGGATTTGGGTTTATTACATATTCTCAAGCCCATATGGTTGATGAAGCTCAAAATAATAGGCCTCACAAAATTGACGGAAGGTAATATTTATTTGTTTGTTTTTTTATTTTATTTCATAAAAAGTTGTTTGTATTGGTCATAGAGCTAGCTTACACATTCTAATGTTAAAAACCTACAATAGGACGCCTATGATCAGTAAATGCTGTACATCTTGCTGCTGAATATAATGTTGATTATAATATTACACTGCTTAAAATGTAGCTTCACAGATGGAAAAAAACGGTATTTCTGTGCATCTTGTAATAAACATTGAAATTTAAATAGAATTGTCGAGCCAAAACGAGCAGTTCCAAGGGAAGAGATTAAAAGACCAGAAGCTAGTGCCACTGTTAAAAAGTTGTTTGTAGCTGGACTGAAGCAAGACATTGAAGAAGAAGACTTGAGAGAGTATTTTAGTACATTTGGAAATATTGTTTCTGTTAGTGTTGTGACAGATAAAGAAACAGGAAAGAAAAGGGGCTTTGGTTTTGTAGAGTTTGATGATTATGATCCAGTTGACAGAGTATGCTGTAAGTTGCTTTTCAATTTTAAACTTATTTAATATTTTTCATATTTTAGTACCGTGTAGTGAATTTAAAGTGTCAATTTATTTGTGTATAATAAATAATTTTAGTGCAACAAAATCACCAAATTAAAGATCAACATTTGGATGTGAAAAAAGCAATATCGAAAACTGACATGTCTGGCGGGGGTAATGATAGAGGAGGTCGCGGTCGACGCGGGGGTCGGGCGGGAGGCGGCGGAGGTTGGAGTCGTTCTGATCAATGGGGAAATCAAGGTTGGATTTGTCGTTGTCATTGTCAAGCATTGTCCTTGACCTAGTTTATATGAATCAATATCTAAAAAATTTACATCATCATGCAATTCATAATGTTTTAGATGGTAGTTTTAACCAGGGGCAAGGATACAGTCAAGGTGGCAACTGGGGGAATCAAAACCCTTGGGACGATAATGGTGGCGGAAACTGGTCTAATCAGGGCTATGGAGACCAGGGTAATTGGGGGTCCTTTGGTAGTGGATACCAACAAAGTTACAGTGGTGGTCCCGTGAGGCCTAATTATAATACGCAAAGGCAACAGCCATATAATTCTGGTAAGTGTAAAACATTAATTACACCTCAATATTTAGTATATACTATATACATAAAAATAAGAATCTAACTTTGTCTTTCCGTTACGTTTTCACACCCAACTCACCAAAGATATTTTTATGAAATTTGATATGTTATAATTTGAACCATAGAAAAAATTAACCTACTTTTCATTCCACCGCTGAATACGGGTTTTTACCAACGCGATATAAGTGTAAACCAATCTGGCAAAGCTACGACGTCAAGCTAGTGTGGTAATGTCATGGGCTGAAGACTACAAGAATGCGTTTTTTTTATGTTTAGATGCGTGGACCAGCTCACAGCCCACCTGGTGTTAAGTAGTTGCTGGAGCCCATAGACATATATGACGTAAATGCGCCGCCCACCTTGAGATATAAGTTCTAAGGTCTCAAGTATAGGTACAACGGCTGCTCCACCCTTCAAACCGAAACGCAATACTGCTTCACGGCAAAAATAAGGAGGGTGGTGGTACCAACCCGCGCGGACTCACAACAGGTCCTACCACCAGTATATGTTATGAAAAAAAACTTTAATTGGTCACAAACAATACATTTAACGGCCGTCTGGTGTAGTGGTAAGTGACATGGTCACTACATAAAGGGGTCGCGGGTTCGAATCCCGCCAAGGGAAGATATTTGTATGATAAATATAAATGTCTTTTCCAGGGTTATGGATGTATATTAAATATATGTATGTGTATAATAAAAATCTTACATTTATTTCCGTTATCTGGTACCTGTAACACAAGTTCTTTACGAACTTATCACGGGACCAGCAAACGTGGGGTGATTGAAAAAAAAAATAAAAAAATTAAAATATATAGAAACTATAGTGGAAAGTAAATTTTTAGGTAGCGGTTATGGGTCGTCCGGATACAATTCTGGAGGCACAGCTCCTGCAACCGGTAACCAGCGCAGGTTTTAAACTGCTTCACTAAACATGTAAGTAAATCTTTTTATTGATACTTTAAGCATATATATATATTTATACATTATATACATGTAAAATTCAAGTAACTAGGAAATATTTTTGGACTGATGAGTGTATATCTATACTAATATATAAATGTACAGTGGTTTTTACGGATGTTCTGATATAACTACTGAAGCATGCATCCGATTGACTTGAAACTTGGTATCCATGTAGAAAATACATGTGCTTAATGGATAGGCTAATATTATATGAGTGTTGGACTCCCTAAACCAGTTGCGGGGGCGTTATGATGGGAATCTTTGTGGGGGTGAGAAATAATAATGTTAATTTTAAATGCCCAGCAAAGCGGACGGGTACAGCTAGATATTTATATTTTTAGATTTTTTACAGGGCTTACACATTATAAGGTCTAACTGAAATTGGTAAAAAAAATATTACCTATTTTGAATGATAATTCTGAATCGGATGTCTTGTGAATACAATTCTGTGTACTGACAATGGTTATTTTTTAATGCGTAGGTCTCAAGTTGCTAAGTTGAAGCTAGGCAGGCAGACGGTAGAGTAGTGACCGAAGGTAGGCTTGCAACAACTAGCCAATGACAGACAAGCGGCATAGTGAGGCGAAATTAATTTTGAATATTTTATAAATCGTTCTATCCACTCAGGTTTGTTCACAAGGTATTATAGGTACTATAGAATATAACGTGCATTAAACACATAGTTACTAGTACTCAAAATTCTAATAGTTTTTACGTAAATTATTTGAAGACATTTTTACATTCATTCATTCAGAGAATTCAAGATTTATGTTTCTCTAAACGTTTGTATAAGATGCACGAAGTATGTGTCTTAAATTGTTTTCTTTTTACTATTTTGTTTTTCATTAAAAATAAGCAGTAAATGTTCTCAGACGTATTTCGAAGAAGAAAAAATAAAAAGTTAAAGAAATACATTCCTAACGTTTTACTTAGTTATAAGACGACAACATTTAATATTGAATGCGTTAACGCAGACTCGTATTTACAAATAATCGATTAACTGTCCAACGAGATTAAGAAGATATTTATTTTTGAGAATATAATACATTATAATTTTTTGTTGTAAAACTGAAAGGTGCCTGGTTATAAACCAGAGATATTGAGTATTACCGTTTTAATTTCTAAGTTGAAAAGTGCAACGCCTAATTATATTGTTCTTATAATAATTGTGATTTGACCTTTTTGTTTATCATTAAGATTTAAAAAAAAATAAGTTTTATTTGTCATGTTAGAATAGTATGATATATTTTGTTATTGTATGTGTGGATAAAATTAAATGAATACTATTTTTCATGGATTCCGCTTAAACGGTGTCGAGCTTTCCTCAATGGAAATGGCCGTGGTAAGTTGACCAAATAAAACCATACAAAATACATTCAATGTTTTATTTCAACACTTTTTAGCAAACATTACAGCCGATATGCTACACATAAGTAAAACTAAATAAATCCCGAAGTTAGCGACTTAAGGTTTTTTTCAAATAGACTAGATAACACATTAATAAGACAAAAGTCTACAATCGAATTAGTTTGAAAACGATTTTTCCACAAAAAATATTTCATATCCAACCTTATGTTTCTAAATTCGTAATACAGTAAGTTCTAACCTAAGTCTTGCAATATATATATTTTTTATGTACAACAATATACAGCAGTCACACAATAGCTATTTAAAAAAAGTCTTAGTCTAATATTAAAAAGTAATGTTTGTATGTTTGTTCACTGTCTACGCGTCCGTTGTGGCTTAACTGAGTGATATAAAAATTTGGTACAGTCAACGTACGATAGTTGAGAATTGTGTGCTTTAGAAAATAAGGGTGGCTTCCTGGGACAAAATCCCCTCACGAAGAGGGCTTAAATTTAGTTTTTCTGTACGTTTCATTATTGTCGTGGATTGGTAGACAATGTGATGAGCAACCTGGTGTTCAGTGGTCACCGGAGCCGTTAAATACTAAAATATCAACTCCATCACCTTGAGACATTAGTTCTAACTCTCAATTATATTATCTAAAGGCTTCAAACCGGAGCCTCCATGGCAGGTAGTAATAGACAGTAAATTAACCCATAGACAGCCCACTGAGTTTCTCGCCGAATCTATTCAGTGGGTCGCGTTTCTGATCCGGTGGTAAATTCTGCGAAGCATTGCTCTTGCTAGGGCCTGTGTTAGCAAGACGTCCGGTTTGAGCCCCGTGAGGTCACATACACGTCAAGGTGAAGCTGAAATAGCCTTTCAAGGCTATCAGCATAGGTAGGGGAAAAAACGTGTCACATAACTGATGTATCATCGAATAGACTATATCAACACGGTGAACAATAAATAATACACTATTTAACAGTTAAATAAAAAAATATATAATTTCGATGGTAATAAATCCCTGGGAAAGTCATAAAATTAATTAATAGATATGAATAAAAAAAAAGGAAGTACTTATATAATACATTTTTTGGTAAGTAAAATACCTATAGGAGGAATTCCTGCTACCTAAAACACTTCAGTTACTCAATTTGACATTGTGAGTATTATTTATTCGATTCACTCTAGTAACAAAAAAAACAATATCGTTATATAAAGGTAAAGGTGTAGACTATATACAATGTGTAATAATATATTTATTATTACCTTACATTATTAGTTTATATGTTTGGATGTTGTAATTCAATTACGTTTAATGGGTCTACGGTTTCAGATGAAACTTCGGAGAAAGACAATAACCTGGATTAACAAATGTAATATTTTTCTTCATGGCTAATGACGTGTTCGGGTAACGCCCGGTATATTTATCTGCTTGATTAAATGCGAGTCGCAATGTTTTCGTTACTTCGTGATTTTACGTAACATTAATTTATAGCTTAATGGATCAAATAATCACTTCATTGATTCTTTTTCTTCTGTTCCTATTTCTCTATACTTGAAGGTTGTGGCGCCGGTAAACATGGACAAACAGGTGCGGTGCAGTAAGGTGGTCCGAGTACCGTGGGGAAGAAACCGGAGGCTGCAGCTAAATTCCTGCCGATATAATTCGAATAAAAATTGAATGATAAATATTTGACTATTTGATAAATCGGTTATTTTATTGTCAAGGGCAGTAAAACAGTCTATGAGTGTTTAAGTGTTTACCGTCGTTCATAACAGCAATATAAGTCGTCGTGGCCTAAAGCATAAGACGTCCGGCGCATTCGTGTTGAGCGATACACCGGTGTTCGAATCCCGCAGGCGGGTACCAATTGTAGGCAGCGGCTTGGCTCTGCCCCTGGCATTGCTGAATTCCATGGGCGACGGTAATCGCTCACTATCCGGTGGGCCGTATGCTCGTCTGCCTACAATATTTTTTTTTTTTTTTCTAATGAAATACGTACTCTACAAATGTTCACGATTGACTTCCACGGTGAAGGAATAACATGGTGTAATAAAAATCAAACCCGCAAAATTATAATTTGCGTAATTACTGGTAGTAGGACCTCTTGTGAGTCCGCACGGGTAGGTATCACCACCCTGCCTATTTCTGCCGTGAAGCATTAATGTGTTTCGGTTTGAAGGGTGGGGTAGCCGTTGTAACTATACTGAGACCTTAGAACTGATATCTCAAGGTGGGTGGCGCATTTACGTCGTAGATGTCTATGGGCTCCAGTAACCACTTAACACCAGGTGGGCTGTGAGCTCGTCCACCTACCCAAGCAATTAAAAAATAAGTAGCCAAGCGATCTTATATTTATTCGGAAATCTTTTAAATTTATTTTGAAGGACACATTCGAGAGGAGTATATAGGAGTAGGTAGGTATATAAAGAGAAGTTGACAGTGACGATGTATTCCGATGGTAGGTGACGCTATAGAAAAAAATTGATGAGGTCAACCCAAAAAAATCTACAGATCGAGATCAAATCGATGGAAAAATATTGATTATTATTGATATGATTGTATTATAAGCAATATATTCGTCCGCTGCTGTAAAAAAGTTACAGATACAGATTACGCATCGTTATTTGGAGAGACTGGAGAGACTCATAATTACAGGTAAAGTAGATATACAACTATCCAGAGGTCGGAGCCAAAAAAAGATGCAGTGATCAAGTGTCCGAACATCGACACGAGCCTGAGCGACGCTCTTCACTGTGCCACTGAACGACTTAAGAGGCTACAAATTACGCGAAAATCTCGCATCACGATGCTCAGCAATGATCAGTCGATTGGAGGAAGAGGAGAGGTAGGTACACAAACACGAAAACGGCTAAGATTAGTAATATTAAAAGAAATACTGGCGATGGGGCGTAATAATAAGCCCGCACGGGTCACGGGCTTACACGCAATTCTTTAGTATGATCTATGTAGATGCACACAGTACGTATACAACGGTTTTAATTAGTAAAAGCCGTCCTCAGGTTAGAGCCCCGTGCGCTCATCTATTCGCCCGGTTGCGCTGTCATAGCCCACTAGGTTACCGGCTTAGGTAGGAAAAAAAACTAAGTAAAAGCTGCGCTAGACCTTACCTGTATTGTTGATCGATTTGCGCTTTCTCTATCCTTTTATCTTTGGCTCTTCTGTTTTGAAACCATATTTTAACCTGGGTCTCACTTAACGATAATGCCGAAGCTAACTCACACCTGTTAAATAATTATACATAAGTAAACAACTGTGGACGGGTATTTATATTTAAATTCAGTATTATGTTTGGAGCAGTGACTTCAGCCGTGTGCCATGTCAATCAACGGAGCAATAAAAATTAACGCATGCTCTTAAAAAGATTGCAAAATGAAAAGATACTAAAATATGTGATAATTTTGTATCTGAGATCAGTAAAGCATACGGTACCCTACTCTAATCGCGATGAATCGCCTCGCATAAGTAGATTTTGCTCTGAACCGCGTGTATATTTTTGCTGATGTACCTAAATATGCTAACGTGCCCACGAACCATCTAAAGTTAAGAGGTATTACTGAAGCCCGTATACTGATTATTTACTGCCGTCCTTTAGACGTTAGGTTAGAGTATCATTTGAAATAATAACAGCTGTTTTGTTTTCCAAACCGAAACTCACTACTACCTAATTAGAATTTACCTAATTTAAAACTCTTAACTAGCGTTTGATTCTGAGGACTAAGATCCTATCTACCTTCTTGCTCTAGCAACATATTCTCCTCTAGCGTACTCTAGTTCTAGTCGCAGTGTTTGATGTGCTGAAAATGTTGTCCGCTGTCGTCTTGGTCTACTCTCTTTTCGTCGTCTCCGGGCCACTGAAAACAAATAAGCGTAGGTCAAAATTTTATATACTCAGTGTTGTGAGAGCTATTTGATGTTATATAAAAGAATCGTTTATAGCGCTTATTGCCAGAAGGTATTCACGCTTCACTGTTAAGATAGTAGAGGTCATAAGTTCGGAACGTTGCCACTGTACGGTCTTTATACAACTCATGTTAACTTAACCTATTCGAGTGCGAGAGTTTTTTTGTTTGTTGAAACGTTTGTATATAGATAGAAATCTAAATGCCTACGCATTTAGATATCATTTCGGATCCTCCCGATCCACTAGCGGTGCTTTTAGGTACCTCAAGCATCGGTCGTCGTTCTCATCGAACCCGTCGCTTGCGACGAAAGGCTCGGCGAGTAAACTAACCCACTGACACAGCCCACTGAGTTTCTCGCCGGATATTTTCAGTGGGTTGTGTTTTCGATCCGGTGGTAGATTCTGCAAAGCACTGCTCTTGCTAGGGTCAGTGTTAGCAACTTCGCCAGATTTGTGCCCCGTGAGCGTGAACTCCGTTCGGTTACGCTGATATAGCCTCTCAAGACTATCAGCTTGGAAAAAAAGGCATTTAGATGCTAGCGGTTTGTAGACCTTTTGGTAAGTCGTGAAGCATTCGCGTGCGGTCTGAGGAGGACAATATGAATGAGACTTCCCCTTCATGTCTCAAGATGGGCAGCGGTGTTCAGCTGGCGATGTCTATGGGCACTAGTAACTAGGTAAACCGTAAGCCGTTTATCTAATGTACCTATTAAAAAAAACTGTTTAATTTAGGTTATAGTATTGCAAATCTACCCTTCTTAGGAATGGTGAAATAGTAGTACATACCTATATTTTAAGATATATGTATATGATGAAATTGCTTTTCTAATTACTACTTTATTTTATTACTAAAATGTAATATTCATTGACCTCGTGTAACCGGAGGTAAATATAATGTAAAAACCTGTAAATATACTTTGTATCCAGGTAAACGCGTTAAAAATACAATAGTACCCACAATATATTTAGTTGTACAACATTTATGTAAGTCGTGGTAGCCTAAAGGATTAAGATGCCCCGTGCTCATAAATAACTATATCGTTAATCGTAAATAACTGTAACTCTTATTAGTAATCCCAGTATGCATTAAAGTATATCAACAACAATTAATAACAATAGAATAATACAAAATAATAAGAATAATGACTAATTATTAGAGGTTGAGGTTCAACAATCGTTTATAAAAATTTAAGTGTCAAAACGCTACTTTGAAAAAGCGGTGCGCTACGTTAACCCTCCCTCATATAGTGGCCGCCGTTAACTACAAATCCGACCAAGGCGACGAGGAAACGCAAAGCTGCCGTCGCCCAAACATATCTATCTCGTCGGATCCTCCGGATCCACTATTGTTACTTTTATGGTCTTCAAGCACCGTTCACTGTCCTCATCGAACTTGTCGATTACGATGAAGAGTTCGGCGTGCGAACTAGCCAATAGACAACCTTACCAAACCGCGCATAGTTGGAATAGACCCTTAAGTACCAACGATAAGGTAAGGAAAAAAAATTCAAAAGAAGAAGTATGGTAATATTTAACTTATTCATTTAAATGTGTGTATATTTCATATCATAAATATGATTAGGTTTGCATACGTATATTAAACCGTGAGAATCTTCTCGTGCAAATTTTTAAAACAAAAAGGATCTTCCCGTTTTGTTTTTCAGCATTGACCACAAACCGCGAACAAAATCTTAGTGCGGTATGGAAAATTTAATATATCATTTACTTGTTTTACCCACTGGATTATAATGCGCGTTAAAACATAATAAGGATTCTTCGTGATTCCTGCACGCAAGTGCTGGCAACTGATTGAGCCATGAGAAAAACGTGCTTGTAAGGTTCCGCGATTCCGCACCATATTGTGCCGGAAGTGAAACCCTGCGGCGCCCGGACAAAGGTGAATCACGATAAAATATAATAAGTAGGTAATACGTAAATATACTATTTACAACTTAACCCATGTTTGTATTTTCTTTATTAATACTGCTTTTTTTTTGTAACTTGTAAGTTTTTCTGATAGGCAGCGACTTAATCTTATCAATTTTGATGTCTTTTTTTTACCTATGCTGATAGTCTTGAGAGGCTATTTCAGCTTCTCCTTGACGTGTAGTGACGTGCTCATGGGGCTCAAACTGGATGTGTTGCTAACACTGGCCCTAACAAGAGCAGTGCTTCGCGGAATCTACCATTGGATCGGAAACGCGATCCACTGAGAAGATCCGGCGAGAAACTCAGTTTGCTGTTCTTGATGTCTATGAAGGAAGGTAATCTTCAAGAGCAAAAAAGTGATAGTTACAAACACGAACTTTTAAATTTTCAGCCACTTCAAGTTAAAGTGTCACGGTCTATCAGCAGTGATTCAAGCTTACTAAATTGGGGTCTTAATTAGGACAGTCTATACCAAATACTCGTATTTTGCTATTAGGCACGTCATTAAGTTAATAAAAAAATCTTGTCAACTCTGAAATCAAAACGGACCGTGGTTTCGTCTTTGCCATATGGCGCGCCGTGTCTATTACAATATCGTCCGGTCAATATGCTTGACAATGTTCACGATACAGTGAACAGCGATCACAGATTGGCCGGAAATGATGAGCACTCATCAACTTCCGAATTAATACTAGATTAACGAAATAAGTTACAATTAGTAGTAATACTTCCATTCAAACATCAACATCTTAAATATTTCAGCAGAAAGTGAATCGTTAAGGTTCGCTTATGGGCAATCTAGATACCGGCTAGTGGTTGGGGGGTCGATCCTGGGGCAATTGTAATGTTTTAAATCAAACAGGTACTTGTTTATACCTAACTAAGAAGATCCCGCGAGAAGCTCAGTGAGCTGTATCTATGGGATAATAAATATTACTTATTATATTATATAACTAAACATTATTTTCACATATTTTAATGGGGTAAACTAGAAAATAGGGCAGTAAACTAGAAATATACAACACTTTTGGTCTACCAAAACTAAGCATCGATGCTACTGTTAAAGTTCATATTTCTAAGTAATCGCGATTATTGTTGTCTGATGCAGCCCGCCTCGCCACTGACACCGTAAATCACGTAAGTTCGCTCATTTAAATTATGTAATACACATGACATTGCGTGAAATTCAAAATATATTAGGGTATCTAAATTTCGAACCTAATTCGTTTAGGTTTAATATATAATTATTCAAATGGTTACAATCTTTACAATAGAGAACGGATCTGATAGATCCAGCATTAGAATTCCTAAAAAGGAAATTTTGTCGGCACTATCCATGTATCGGGCATGGTGGTACATCTTCCCTTTAGGAAATGCTCACACTAACCTTTCCTATACATACTACATTGCATACTACATATATCTTATACACACTACACACTGCAAAACGAACATATCTAGCTAACACCTCCGCAAATTAACCTTTTTCACGTACCTAATTTATAAATATTACTTACTTTCCATAAAGTAAGTCGAAATACGAAAGAAAAACATTCTTAATTGCGAAAGACAATCTACAATTAACAGTCATAAGATAGTATGATAAAATGAGTGGGCACGGAAATGATTCCATAAAAATATCCTAACAATACATTTGTGAAGAGACAATACGAATACATAGATTGCAGATCTTCACGTGGTCGACATCATTAGCTTGAATTCGAGTTGTGCGTGCCACATTATTTTCATTTCATTCTTTCTATCTAACAATATGTTTATTGTTCTGTTGTTTTCAAACAAACAAAAAAGACATGGGATCAGAGAGTGTGGATTTTGATTGAAATTAATGGAATATTTATTTCATTAAAACAAAATATTTGTCGTTGTGCATACTATCCTAACTACTCATGGACCGGTAGGTGAGTCGAGGGCAACCGGAGAGAATTGCTAACACTAACCCTGGTAAGAACAGTGCTTCGCTGAATCTACCACCAGAATGTAATAGCAAGATACTGAGTGCATCGCTTATTACTTATTTCTTTGAACTAAACATTGATTATGACACTGTGTGTGTCATTTACTTAAATTGTGTTTCAATTTTAACCTCAGTATCAAGCAGCGTAGTATAACAAAAAGCTAAATTGTCGAGAGAAAAAAAAACAATTAGGCAGCATTTCCGAAAATCTATTCAATAAAAATAAATCAAGTGCTCCGTAGTATTGTGTGATCCGATCACTTTATAATGTGAGCAAATTCAAAAGGGGTTGATACTGTGGGAGTCGCCAGCTGTGATCACCGAAACACACATAAATACATGTAATTGAGCCACAATAGCGATATTATCTGACTGAGTGTTGTCATATTAAATTGTCATGCGGTTAATCGACTCGAAAGTAATTGTACTTATACGAGGGTATTTAAATGGATTATCGGAGGATTTTGTTTTAAAAGTTGGCAACACGTGTTTTTTTTCTAAACATATCTTCCGAAAAAAAAAAAATGTAGTTCACGGTGCCGTTGTGTGTCAAACACAAACATAAAATTTATATTGACTTGGTTATTCCAAAGCTACGTTGTCATTGATGTCTTTAAAATGTCTTCTCGATTGTGTATTGTTACACTCGTAATCAGATTTCATTTGATTCTAGTGCAGTGGGAATCCAAAGACGCCGTATCCTCCTGGTTGATGCACCTGCAGTATTACGAATATAAATATACGCCCCTCTTCGTAGAGGAGGCCTCTTCTTTTTATGAATCAGAACGAAGTATGTAGGTAGTGTTTGTATTTACCACATACAGCATATTATTTATAGTGAGCAAGTCTATTAAAATAAATAAGCTCTCCGCGAGTTGTTTAAATATTTTTTTATAATGTGATGTCGCTCATGAATACCACCAGCCCGTCTCTTTTCGTAGGTGTCGTAAAGGACGACTCAAGAATTCACTGGGGAATGGGCAGCAACATTCTTTGAATGTTATACTAGCATCCTGCGATCACCAACCCCTATATATTGGTGGGAA